TTCTTTCATTCTCTTGCCAATGTTTGCATATGACATCACCAACTATATTAAACCAAAGTGTCGATGTCAGGAATGTTTTTGCACACTATTTTAGCATTTAAGAAAGTAGGGTCTCTATTTAAATAATGTTAGACATTCATTTGCTGTAAAACCAATATAAAATCTATCATTTATCATAGTATGGATAAACTGTGCTTTTTATTTCGTATTTTTTCTTACAACTTTATATCATCATTCAGGGTTGGTTCGGCGTCCAGCTGGAGTTCTCGGGCAAGTCCATGTTGCAACTCGAACGCGACCTGCTGATGCTTTGTGGGCATTGGCTTATGGAGGTCCCTTAGCTTTGCTTCCCTTGGCAGTGAGCAGTGTACATGAGATAACCTTGGAACCACAGATGGGGGTTTTCTTTGTCTTTAGCAACCACATCTCTTGCTTCCTCAATATTTAGAATTATATCCTTGGCTGTACAATATCCTAGGAACAATGAAGAGTTATCTCGCGGCAGAGGACCTGAGATTCTTTCAAAAATTTTGAATTATCTTCTCCAGACTCTATCTTTGCTTGGTTATGGAAAGCGAGAGTGTAGGAGAGAGGAGGAGCTGTTGCTGCTGTTGTCACTCACTATGTCAATCCCAGAATATCAATGACAAGCTTAAAGTACAACTCTTCACTACCTTGCTCTCTTAGATTTAAAAAATTTGGAGTTTGTGCAGTTATGGAATACAAAAGAAGCTTCTGTCATCACTTGCAGACATGGTTTTCACTGAGTCAGCAATCATGCGAGATGCTAATGCCATTCAGATGCTTCTTGATGGTTGCAGAAAATGTTATTGGACTATTCCTGAAAAGGACTCAGTGAACACATTTTCCCTTACTGGGGCAACACGTCCGGTGGGTGAACTTAATGCTCTAGTTGATGAGCTCTTAGTGGTAGTTGAACTTCTAACAGTGGCAGCGCCTCCTTCAATGGTCTCTGATGATGTCCGGTGTTTGCTAGGATTCATGCTTGATTGTCCACAGCTCAACCAGGTAATGTAGTGTAATGCCAAGATTATGTCTTCCCTTTGTTGGGGCATTGTTGGAAATGGTTGTTCTAGGCTGGCACACACATGATAACATTCTATAACGCCTTTTTTTTTTTTTGGGGTGAAAATGGAATACGTATTCAAGATGCTTATGCGGTCTCTTATTGCGTGGCAGGCTTTTTTATCCAATCTAGTTTCATGTTACGATAATATTATTATCTAGAACACCAACCAGACAAGTTTTCCCTGTGTAGAGTTTGAGGAGTGGGTTGAACTCTGTGTGGCTTATGAACAATGCAATTTGCTATGGATTTTATTAAATATATATTGATATATTGATGCTGTATAATTTTTAGGGGGTCAGATATGTACATATTGCATGCTTGAGGTGGTCAACTAATTTTTTCCTGAATTTTTCTAATAGAATTTCATTACTGGTTGCTCTAGAGATTGGGGTTTTGCCACACTAAAGCTTGTTTTTGGATGGGACCCACTTATTATTTTGGTAAATGTGTATTTTTAGTGTGTTAATTTTAGAATAAGTTTTAGTTCACTCCTTTAACTTTCTTAAGTCTGTTTTTACTCTTTTAACTTTGAAAATATATTAAGAAATTTCCTCTTTTTTTAACACGTTAATTCACTTAATGGAAAATGCTCCCATGCAAGTTAGTTAACTTATAATTGTAACCACATCATTATGCCATGAATGAAGCAACTAAAAATTTAATATTTATCATTTTTGAAGAAGTACTGCTTTTTTTTAGTTAAAAAGCAAAAGCTCAAATATCATATTATTGATTTAATCCGGTTGGTTCTCTAGATTTGGATGCGCCATTTAACATCATGTAAACATTTTCTGTAATTTCGTTGCATTAATGGTGTCAAAGAAGAAGAAATGTTTTATTTTATCAGAAAATTTTATTATATTTTCAGGATTAAAAAGAAATTTAATAAAGTTAAAGGATCACATTGAGACTTAGTGTGAAATTTAAAAGTATATTTTTACCTATATTTGTAGGGGTTAAGTTTCTCATTTCTTGTGTTTTCGATTTCTGATCCATATATCTGTGTCTTCTCCTTTCCTAAATTTTATTTTTTGTGGAATCCTTTTTCTTCTCTACTTTTAATGACGAGTAGATAAGATTTGTCATATAAGACAAGAATCATGTTGATCATATATGAGGAATAGTTGGTGTGGCATCTATTGAGGAGAAGTTGGTACAAAATTGATTAAGGTGGTATTGGGCATTGGGCATGTACAAAGAAGGTTGAGAAAGGCATCTCGTTGAACATGATAGTGGTTCAGATAGTGTTGAGTTTCAGGGATATTGCTGCAGGAAAAGAATTTCCGGGATTCTTAGAGTAGCAGAAGAAAATCCAGGATTACTGCTTGGCCAATATTTTTCTGCTGCATGCTCTGTTAGGTTTAATAACATTTAATGACATAAACTACATTTTTTTTACTTCCGACTATTACTAATCTCATGTTTATTTCCTTTTAAATTCTAAAAGTCTAATGTGAACCATTATCTCTTATTCTTTTAATAAACAAAGTTCTCATTAAACTATTCTCAGAAATTGTACTCCTTGTTTACTTCACTTTCCAGGTTGCTAGGGTGTTGCATCTGTTCTACAGGTTAATTGTACAGCCGAATACAGCTAGAGCGCGCACATTTGCAGAAGCATTCCTAGCATGTGGTGGTGTGGAAACTCTTCTTGTTCTGCTTCAGAGGGAAGCTAAGACTGGGGACAATGGTGTCTTGGAATCAATGTCAAAAATTCCTCAACCTGAAAAAGCTACCGTTGGTGGTAATAGTGAAATTACAGAACAAAGTCAAGATGATGAAAGACCAGCTGAGAAAAGTGAAGCAGCCTTTAGAAAAAAATGACCAAGATTCTCAACTAGTTGATAATAGAGGTCATCCCGATTCAAGTTCTGCTGTTGTGAATATTGAAAGGATGAAGTCTACTTCTGAAACTTCTAGTGTCAATAATTTTGTTGTCATTTCCATTCTGATAACTGTGTAATGCTAACATGTGCCATTATGCTGTTCAAATTGATCAGTGATGGTATTGTTGTCGGGATCATAGCCCTCTTGGGTGCATTAGTAGCTTCAGGGCATCTGAAATTTGACTCTCATGCTGCTCCTGATACAACAAGAAACCTTTTGGGCGTTGGACTGCAAGATGGGGGTGGCACCATGTTTGATGACAAGGTTTCTCTTTTGCTTTTTGCCCTGCAGAAGGCTTTCCAAGCAGCTCCCAACAGGCTAATAACTAACAACGTTTACACCACTTTGTTGGCTGCCTCGGTATGATGAAATTCTTCCATCACATCTCATTTCATATTAATAGAAACGTACATGTCAGTGACTGTTAGAATCATGATTTTTTGTGGGATTATTGTTTAATCTTTCATTTTCAAATGCTATTCCCCGGGCTTTCTATGACAGCCCTTTCTAGTTAGGGTTTGATTTGTCTTTTTAATTGAGTTAATGGTCTCTATATTTTGTCAGCCACTTCCATCCTCTGCCTTATTTCCTTTATATCCTGCTTGGCTTTTTTATTCTTGCTACTAATGCTGCGTCGGATACATGAATATGTTGCTTCTCTTCCCTCCCGCCCCTCTCTATTTCAGATCAACATCTCCTAATATCTTGACAGAATGGGTCAAAATGTGGAATTTTGGAAGAAAATATATTTCTTATAATTTTGAATATAGCACAATGCATCTAAATATATGCACTGAGTAAAAGCATGAGAATAATGACTAAAATGAATACAAACATTCTAGTCACTAACCCTTTCTTGGAAGATATTTACAAGGAAAAAAAAATATATTTCCATCACAAAATATCATATGGCAAAGCCCCATGATGTCTGTACTCTATATGTTTATTTAGAGAACCCCGGGGCAAAATGTCAAAAGCTGAGCAATTTTTTTTTCCCCTTGGGATGCAACAAAGCTGAGCAAGTTCCTAAAATTTTAAAAAAAAAAAAATTTCCCTTTTGGTTGTCATTTTTTTTCTTTTGATGAAAATCTTTTTTTTTTAATTGTTCTTTTTTTATTTCAGATCAATGCCTCTTCAATGGAGGATGGTTTGAACTTCTATGATTCTGGTCATCGTTTTGAGCATTCACAACTTCTGCTGGTGCTTTTGCGTTCTCTTCCCCATGCACCCAGGCCTTTGCAGTGCAGAGCACTACAGGTTTTAGCTTAAGTTCCTATTGCTTGCCATCCGCATTTAATGTTTGTAATTTGTTGGTTCCTTGTTTCATGAGCCTGAAAATCATGTCTATACTTGGTAGATTTATGCTCCTGAATTTGTCTCAATCTACTTATCCTTGGATGTACCTTCTTGATTGTGTTTGAATTTCTCATTACATACTTCGTGGATTTGATATTGCCTTGCTGGTCTCAAGTTTCTCATGATCAGGCATCCAAAAGTTAATAGAGAGTCATAGGAATAGTTTCTTAGCTTCCTTTCTTCCAACAACTGAATTTGTTTATTTCTCTATAAATTAGATAAGGAAGGTAAAAGACTTCAAAATTATCATGTGATAGCTTGCTATTATTGACTTGGGAACGTAAAAGAGTAGTATTCAATTCATTAGTCACTTTTCGCACCATCTTTTTCCTCCCATTTACATGATAGGAACCTCTTAACTAACTAGCTGACCCTATTTCCTTTTGATGAAGACCAGCTGACCCTTATTAACCTCATGAAGAAAATGTTATTGGGTTTTTATCTTAATTTCAATTTACATTATTCTTTAAAAGTTATATTTCGTTATTTTAGAATAAAAATAAGGTATCTAGTGTCATCTTATCCTATCTAGGATTTAGTTATTTTATTCCATCTTTTAGGATTTATTATTTTTTTGAATAGGTATACCTAGGACTCTATAAATGGCCTAAAAGTTCTCTCATTTGTTAAACCTTTTGGATGATTTGAATTAAGTTGATTGTTTTTTCAGTCTCTCTCTTAATTCTCTATATTTCCTCCCTTCTTCTTCTTTTTCTTTCTTTTTCTATCTCTCCTTCTGCTTGTCTCTTCCCCTTCCGCTCCTGTGTTTTACCTCACCTTCGTGACCATTATTGCTGCCATGTAACAATAGTCCTCCTTCAAATTGATCCTTGTCCTCAAGGATAGTTACAATTCAAAAAATTTAAAAATTCAGTACAATGCATTTTTCTTGTCATGGACCTCTGTTTTCTAAGATTTAGGTTAAAAACACATTGACTATCTTATCAACATCTAAGAAACATTAAAAACCCATTGGTGTTCAAGAAGCCTATAGCCCTTGCACCTCAAGCCCATTTCTATGCTTGACATAGGATCAAAGTGGCCATAGATGTTCTAGATCATCAAGATGCAACTTGGCCTGCTGTTGCCAAAACAAAAAGCCCATCTGCCCTCTTTCTTGCCAAGCCTATTGCTGCTCTCATTTGTCATTAAGAGATTTTTTCCCCCTTGAAAGATGCTAATCAATAGTTAAAAATTATCTATAAATAAGCATAGTATCAATTTTGAAGAAAAAATTCACGGCAAAAAAATCCATAAATATTCATCCAAGCTTGATCCAGATCCAAACCAAACTGAATGAAATGACTTACGGTACTGAACCAAACCGATTGAAGAGAAAACTGAGTAGGTCCCACGAATTGCCAAACTGGTTGGTTTAATTCAGTTGTTTTTTTTTTTTTTTCCCGCCAAAACCAAACCAAACTGAACCTATGAACATAATGACAGGTTATCGGACCATGCTTCTAGTGATGGTGCTAGATGGACGAGAAACAAGCTTTGTCACTATATGGTACATGAAATTGTAAAAGTGTAGCATCCAGTTCATCAGAGACCTTTTACATCAAATTTCCTACCTATTGTGCTTATGGGAACCTCCTAACTAACTAATCCTTAATGTCTTGCTAACCATTATTAATGCCACATAACAATTACCACTCACACCTTGATAAGTGTATACTCTAACGAGATGCAGTCCCTCCTTCTGAAATCAACATAAACTCTTCTTGTTTGCATTATTTACTTTTCTTTTTTCCCCTTGTCCTATATGAAATATTTTTCCCTGAGTCTTGATCTTGTGTGGTTCCTTTTGCATGAATGTTAAAATATGAATTTAACCTATTTATATGCCATGTCCACATGGGAAGCTTGTTCATTCGATTGACTTATATGAAGATTTCTGTCTTTACCTATATATGCATCCGAGATCTTGTTGTTTATGTCTTGCTTCTAAGCTATTTGCTTGCATACAATTTCAGGATCTTCTATTTTTGGCTTGCAGTCATCAAGAAAATAGAAGTAGTTTGACAAACATGGAAGAATGGCCTGAATGGATCTTGGAATTGCTAATTTCAAACAATGAGGTATTATTTTTGGTTTTCAGAAAATGTGAGCTAGGCGCTCATTCTGGATTAGAGATGACAATTATAACACATAACTATTTATCCTCCCGAAGCCAACTCTATTTTGATTGCACTAAACTTCTTGATTTTATATTCGAGATTGATAGTTAATTGGGTTAGTTCTTTGAGCAAATTTCTAAAATGTGGGTTTAATCAGGCCAGCCAAACATTCTTTCTCTTGTTGTAAGATAATCTCTAGCATAAAACGTGTGAATATGTATTTATATGTGTGCAGACATTTATAATATGTTAGAATCACTTTTGGAAGTTTAGAAAATATTCATGGAAATGGAAAAATACTTAATTGTTGGGCAGAAGTTTGATTTGCTATTGTGAAGAAAGAATTAAGAGTAGGTTAGCTATAGGACTGCTATAGTCAAAGTCTATGAGGTGGGGGTTGTGAAAGTCACTTTTTGGGTCTATAAATCTTATCTTCGGCTGAGCAGAAAAGGAGAGAAGAATTTGAATTTGGCTCAGGCATTGGAGTGGATTGGCTAATCTTTGTGTGATATATGTCTGTGTGCTTGTCTTGTATTTCTTTGTTAGTTGTAATTCATTGTTGTGTTGTAATCTGATGCTGTAAACGCATTCCTATTGTTGAGTTTTCATTTGTTTGACTTGCTGTGTAATAGAGTAGAGTTTTAGTCCCTGAATGTAACGATTTTAACCTCTGGATTTCATTTTCGTTTGTAATCTGCCTCAATACATTAAAGGTTTTGGAGTTTGTGTGGGGTCATAACATTATACATATAATTGAAATCGGCTGCGAAGCAATTTTTCTATCATTGGCTGAAGTTTTCATTCGTTCAACTATGTATGATATAGGCATAAGGCAACACTCCTGTCTCTCCTAGCTCAAGGTTCTAGGAGATTATAATCTGGAAAATCTGATTTTATTTAGGTAGGGTTGTTATATTATTTTAATAGATTCATAAATCCTTGCCATACAGCAGCATTGAAGCAAATAGGAAAACGGGGATTATAATATGGAGTATAGAATAACATCTAGAATGCTTAGCACTTTGATTCCCAACATTTCTTGTCAAGCTGGCAAATAGGTGTTGATCGTTCCCACCTTGCTACTCAGATTCTTCAAACCGCACTCTAGGTGCTGCTTTTATCATCAATCAACTACTTGAGCATTGGTAGATGGGTAGGACACCTCTGTCTGACCTGATTCAATCTTCTCTTTATGAAATGATGATCTCTTTCAACATATTTGGTCCTGTTGTGCTTATGGGATTCTTGAATATTCCAATATTCTCCATGTTGTCACACAATACCTTGATTGGACATTCAATTCCAATTTTGAGCTTTTTAAGTACTCTGTCCAGACAGATGCCTTCACAAATTCCAGGTGGAAGGGTTTGAAACTCAGGCTCAGCTCTTAAAATATGCTACTATAAGTTGTTCCTTGTTTTAGAAGGTAACTAGCTTGCGCCATATAAATTTATGGTAGTCTATAGTTGATCTTCTATCAATAACTAAATCTACCCAATCTGCATCGGAGCAAACCTCTACTGCTTGGTGTGTTGCCTTCTTGAAATAGAGACCTTTTCCTCAGTTGAGTTTCAAGGTATCTTAGTATTATGAAATAGAAATCTTCGCTTGTATGTGCTTACGTATACATGCATGTATCAACACATGTATAGATAGTACATATTCAGGCACGCACACACACACAGACGAATATATAGAGATAGATTTATGGACAGACTTGTGTGCATATATAAACACACACATGGGTGCATATGTATAATCACTTGTGTACGCACATGCGCACAATAATATACTTATGCGGAGGGTGGGGGGAATCATTAGTTATAAATCCGTGGAACTTGAAATCCTTTTGTAAAATTCCCTAACCGTGCTACTTATGCATTTTATGTTTAACAGATGGCGCCAACCAAATCTTCAAATTCAACGAGTCATGGAGAACTAGAGGACCTTATACATAACTTCCTTATTATCATGTTAGAGCATTCAATGCGGCAAAAGGATGGATGGAAGGTTGCTATTTAATAACATTATTGCTTCTCTTTCATGTTAACCTGCTTTATGTGACAGTTGATTTATGTCTTGTATGCTTTTTGGCAATGTTGCTGTTGACATCCCCTACATGAGCAGTTTGTCTGTCTGTCTTATGTTCTGTATTTGATTCTCATTGGGCGAAATTCTATCTCTGTGTTGCTTTCTTTATTTGATTCCATTGGTTGAAGTTCTAACTTTCAAACTTCTACCTTAGATTTGGTTTGAGTTTTTGGATTGTGTGCCATGTCTGGTGCACAACTGTTGGGATTGCTAACATAGAATAGAGTGCGCGCTTTTTTCATGTATAGTAATTGAAATTCACTGAGGTAAACTGCATCTCAGCTTTCATTATTCATAAAGGACAGAGTGATGCATATGTAGGAGCATTATGGTTATCAAATCGGTACCCAAAAACTGATATGCTAATCAAATTTGACTGGGGGTGACTGAAGATCAGATTCGAATTCCTAAGATTTTGGAGGCAGATGGAAATATGATTACAATCTAGAAAATAAATGACAGGATTAAAATACATTGCTTAGTGGGCTTGATGAGCTTGGGCTTCGAAGTCTGACTCCTTCTAACAGCAATGATATCCTCTATTGCAAGTATTACATGCGTTTTCTTTTATTTTTGATTCCTTGTTTGTAATTTTGTTTTCATAGTCATCGGAATGGACTTGCTTTTTCTATAAAAGGAAAATATGTAGATAAGTGGATGTTAACCTTGGCGAGAAAAATAATAAGCAAGAAATGTTATTCTTGGCAACTTGAATCAAAGTACAAGCTGGGTATTTATATCTTTCATCACTGGTTACATTGTATTCCTTTTGTCAACTATTATCAGAATTTTAAACAGAACAGCAATTGACACGTAACAACATCTATGTTTGCAAACTTGACACTTAAATATCGTGATTTAATTGATGTCAGCCTAAGCGTAGATGTTATCACATCAATAATTGATACAATAGTTACCGGCTGAAATGATTTGTAAAGTTTCTGATGCCACACTGGATATGCTAGTTCAATTGTTGTTTCTTCATATTCCTTAGTGTCTCTGGATAAACCTTTTTTTTTTTTCTTTTTTTTTTTTGAATTTACCCCTCTGTTCCTTTTTATAAGACCAATTTACCTACTTTACACCAAAAAAAAAAAAGTTGATGTCTTTAAATTACCTAATCTTTCCACAAGTACCCTTCATTAAAATACTCTTCTCGCCTGATTAATTTAAGAATTTTAAAATACTCTCTTTTAGTTTTTTTTTTTTTTTGGAAAAGAAAATCCACTAATGCCTATATCTTGCAAAATGTCTTATAAATAGGAACATCAAAACATTCTAAAAGATGTCTTATAAGAAGGAATAGAGGGAGTAATATTTTTAACTTTTTGATCAGTTTTTCTGCAAACCCGCTGGCAATCATGCTCAAACATGTAGCTGTACTTGCTTTACTAGGCCGGGAAGAATTAAATTTCTTGGTTCTATGAAGTTTTTTTCAGTAGACTAGCTAAATGTTTTTCTGTTTCTGTGAGAATTGATTATTATTATTTTTTTGATATAGTTTTGTTTCCATACTGACCACGTAGATTTTATGTTATATTCTAACCTTGTATTGCTTTCTTGCTTATTTGATCTGATCCATGTATCCCTCCACTATTTAACTTATTTTTGATCGTCAGATTGTCTGCCTCCATGAAATCTGTTTATCTGCTTTATTGATATTGGTTGGTGTTGCTCTTTTTATGTAGGATATTGAAATGACAATTCATTGTGCAGAATGGCTTTGTATTGTCGGCGGATCTAGTATAGGAGAACTTCGAAAAAGGTGAATTTTTTTTGCCTTTTTAAGCTACCTGTAATTTTCCCTCCTCACTTCCTTTGTATGACCATTGTATCTTTTTAATTTGTTACTGTTAGAAAACATAGTAGACGGTTTGACATAAATGCAAGAGTTGATGAAATTCCTAGTGACCTATTAATGGGAGGTGTGATAGATGTAAGTGAAGTGTACAAAGTGTGTGGACTTGCTGATTTTCATCCTAATTTATTCGCAAGTTTGGGATTTTCAGTCTTAGGGAGTTTGTTCCTATTTTATTGTTTGTTAACTAGCATTTATTAGTCCTAATAAGCTTTGGGATTGTTATTTGTTACCAATCAGGACTGCCACTACTCAAGGACAATAAAATTTGACATTTCTTGTCAAGTTTTTCTCGAAGCCTTCTGATAAACCAGACTTCTTGATGATCTTTGTAAATATCTTGGGGTGTCGAGCTTACATTCATATTATATCTCAATGAAGGCACGAACTTGATCCTAAATCAATCAACTACTTATTGTTAGGATACTCTCCTCACTACAAAGGGTTGCAAATGCTATGATCCCTTTACAAAAAGGGTTTTTCACCTCCATGGATCTGGGCTTCTTGAACAAAAACTATTTTATTCCAAAGCTGATATTCCAGGGGTAATTCATCTGAACAAATAGCATCTTTATTACAATATAGATTTCTATCATTGTTCTCAACTATCCTTGTGACCTTGATTGCCAGATCATCCTTAAGACCTTTAATGTGAGCTACTGTTTGTCTCAGTCTGTCTCTTCCAGATTTGGTTTTTTCCTAGTGTTGATCAGATTCGGTCATTGAATCTTGAGCTTGAGTTTTAGGTGCTGTCAGAAGCCTTGGATCAATGGTTTAGTACGAGAATAGTAGAGGCTGCACTAGAGAAGAACACAGAAAGGAGAGTTGCAACTGAGAGAAAGAAAGAGATTCAATTTATCAGCAAAGTGAAACTCAAATTACTCCTACTACAGTTAATATTGGTGTGATTTGCATCGATTAGATAGTTGTTCTTAACCATTTGATTTATTGGTTAATTTGTTTGCTGGTGACAGAATCTAACTGACTAGGTAACTGTCCTGAGAACAACCCTGCCGTACTATGTCTCTTTGTTTAAGTTTCCAGCGGGGGTATGTTGTGGTTGTTATAGAAAGAGTGAAGATAAGAGGAAGAAATGAGAATCAGAGGGAAGGAGAGAATCATAGAGAAAGGGAAGAGAGGGAAAAGAGAGAGGAAACAGAGCTGGAACTGAATACTTCTTTAAGCAAACTATCAGCAAAAACAATAACAGAGGCTCCCCTATTTATCTATACAGCTGCATAGATTTAGTATAACTGAGCTAATGTCCTAGGATCCTGACGAATTAAACCTAACTACCAAAACCATTCTTATGGCCTTATAGAATAAGTAAGCCATTAACTAACAATTTGTGGCTCATTGAGTTAGTTAAACCACACCCTTAACCCTTTCTTAATATTTTGCAGCTTACCTAACAGGGTAGTGAATTGGATAGACAACATTATGCTTGGCTTTCTTGGATCTGGTTGTGGTGAGAGTAAAAGGGGTCACTTGGTTAGTCAGGAAGTGTGTTGCAGATCAAACAAGGAGAGGGGGTTGGGTCCGGCTGTTTTTGGTGTTTGAAATATATCACTAGTGGCTAAGTGGCCTTGACAGTCTTCCTTGGAGTCTTCTTTTTCTTTGTGTCATAGGTTGGTCAGAAGTAAATGTGGTATTCAGCAAAATGAATGGGATTATTCAGCAAAATGAATGGGATGATAATTAGGGATTGGTGCTTCTGAATCAGGCTCCTAGAAGTTATCTCCTTGTGTATTTTGCCCCTTATATGCTTTCTTTTCATGTCACATTTTTTTCTTTTCAAGGACTAGTGGATGGGTTGGTGAAGCTTCTGCTCCTTAACTACTATCAGTTATCCTCTTTGCATAATGCTTTTATTTCTAAGTTCTTAATTGGCAAAGTAGTCTCTGTTCATCAAAGGTTCAGATTTTGAGAAATGTTAATGCTAGACTTTTCCTGTTCTGTAATATCATTTGTTGCTCAATCAAAGGATATGGAATTTAGATTCTTTGGGATCTTTCATGTGTCTGTCTTTCTTACTTCTTATTTAAAGTTCAAATATTACTCTTCTGGGTTCAAACTTTGCCTAGAAAGTCAGGACCCCTTCTAAGGTAAAGGCTTTTGTTTGCATGGCAATGCTTAATAAAATGAAGGAAAATGATCAGCCTTGTATTTGAAGGTCTATAAGACTTTATCACCAAAATTTGAGTGATTTGTTTTGGAAGTTTGCAGTCATTAACCATCTCAAGAGACTCAAGGACCATATGATGCCTTATGACCTAGCTTGTTTGGTGCATTGGAATTGATTTTGATGGAAATGGAAATGAATATGGAGTTGGAAATGGATATGGCCATGGTCTTTAAAAAGATGTTTGGTATGGGTATGGGAATCTAACTTAATTTTTAAATAAAATATATATTTAAAATATGTAAATACTAAAATGCCCTTTGAAATTGGGGGAAAAAAACCTCCTCCATCCAACCATTCTTCATCACCGTCGACAACTACCATTGGCTGCCCCTCAAAACTAAAATCATCCGCTAAGAACCAAATGTCATGGAAACTGAGGGGGAAAAAGAATCAAAGCAACAGTACAAGGCACCCAAAAATTACCATCCAGAAATAAACCAGAAATCACCATCAATGACTGCCAGAAAAAAGAAAGCTAGATTTCAAAGTGAAAATCATGAAGCACAAGCAAAAATCATGGTTCTTAGATGCAAAAATCGCCATTGTGACTGTCAACGTTGCTGGAGGAAGAAGATGGTAATTGGAAAGAAATTTCCACCTGTAAACTCAGATTTGAAAGAATAATGTCATCACTGTTGAATGAAGATCCAGAAATTGTCGCCAACATTGTTGCTTCACATTTGGTTAAGAGGAGAATGATGATGGAAAGCAAAGAGGAGGAATGGTGGTGCTTGTAGACTTCACAGTTGAAGGGAAAAACAGACTCTAAGGAGGCCACATCATCTGCAGTGAGGTGAGATGATGTGAAACTTGAAGGTTGGCAGTGTGAAGCTTGAAGGTTGGCAGTGTGAAGCTTGAAGGTTGAGGGAAGGGTAAAAATGGACTGCATGGAGATGGAATTGGCTTCCATGGGTTGCTTGATGGAAGCCAATTCGACCTATTTTGGTGGAGCTGAAATTGCAGAATTTTCCAATTTCATCATACCAAACAGTCAGTTTGGAATTCAATTCCATTTCCATTTCCATTTCCAATTTCTGCATGCCAAGCGGGTCACTAATGGTTTCTAAAAGGGGGTAGTTGATAGAACTGAGAAAAACATATGCCGGGCCTTTCTATGTTACAACTCCCTTGAATTTGAGTCAGGCCTTGGTCATTGGTAAGAACTAGAGTGCACAAAATGCATGCTTAATTATGAAGTTGAAAAAATGGTAGCTGTCTATGCTTCATTTTAATTGATGGAATTTAAAGGAGAAAATCATGCCAAGACTGGTTGTGACAAAAATTTGGTGGTATAAATGATGATAAATATGACATTCTAGAGTCAATTGAGGAAGAGCTTTTCTACCTCTTCTCATAGTAGTGCATTATTCGCTTCTGTTGATAAAATAGTTTGCATGTACAATTTACTATATCCTGTATATGTCATCATATGTTTGTTCCTTTTTGGTTTGAAGACGTGAGGAATCATTGCCTATATTTAAGAGGAGGCTCTTAGGTGGCTTGTTGGACTTTGCTGCTCGGGAATTGCGGCTTCAGGTAAGGATTTTCTTGTATGTATATATATACTTTTGCAAGAGAATTTTTTTCCAGTCATTTCTGCTATTCTGGTCCCCCCACGTCTACACACACTGGACCTAGGAAGCTAATGGCCTGTTCAGTGTAAAGAGGGAATCAGAGTATGATTCTATTGCACTAGGAAACAAGATATATGATGCCTATTCTGCCCATGTTATAATTATTCATAATTGCCTTGAAGAGAGTATAGAGATAGAGAATATGGAGAGGGTGAGACGAAGATTATTAGAAATTAATTGCCTTTCTTTGTAAGTAGTTAATGCTTTAGGATGCTGTAGTTAATACCTAGGAAACTAATGGCCTGTTTAGTGTAAAGACGGAGTCAGAGTTTGATTCTATTGCACTAACAAACGAGATATATGATGCCTATTCTGCCCATGTTATAATTATTCATAATTGCCTTGACGAGAGTATGGAGATAGGGAATATGGAGAGGGTGAGACAAAGATTATTAGAAATTAATTGCCTTTATTTGTAAATAGTTAATACTTTAGGATGCTGTAGATATTCCATTTTATTTCGCAGATTATATAAATGCTTGTAAATTCCTATTATGTTGGCCAAATATGCTCCCTAGGCTGTATATATTAACAAAACATCTGATTTTCTTCAGCCTCACTTGCTTACAGAAAATGATCATGTAGTTGTGATTTTAGTCAAGAAATTCCTTCTTGATCATTGCCTGTGTTAAACAATCATCTGTGCAGACTTCAAATAGACACAGATTAGCATCCTGATTCATGTGGCAAAAGGAATGGTCAGCTTCACTTTTAGTTAATCCTAATCCAAACTATTGGACTATTCTTTTAAACCACCCAATCCAAACTCTTGATAAGAAACTCCACAAATAGAGTGATCACCTAAATGACAAAAAATAGTCTGGTAAGTAATAAACAGAGACTGAACGTCATGATATATGGTCATAACCGCATCTGAACACTGAAAGAAGGGCCTGACCAGTAACAAAAGTCACCAAACACCATGATCAATAGCCAAACACAAAGATTGAGGGGTTGGGTCTTGTAGATCAAATGTTTCCTAGAAAGGTTGGACAGACAGGGCTTGAAATGGGTGACCCATGCACTGTCATTTGTTGGTTCGTGGACAAATGGATAGAATCTACCAGTGGCATCTGTGGATGTGGCTGGAGCTCCAGATGGCAATGGTAAACATTGATGCCTTCTAGGGATGGTGGTTGCATGGTTGGGTGTGTGTTCCAAGAAAAGTAGGACATAGTGGCTGAATGTAGCAAATGGGGCTAGGAAAGGAAGTGCTTGAGGCAAGAAGAAAAATGCATAGATGAAGAGAAGTTAGGGTGAAGAGAGAGGCCAGTAATTGGGATGATGCGCAATCACTAGGGGCTGTGATACCATGAAGAGTATGGAGAGTGTGTGGAGGGTGAACATGGAGAGTATGAGACTGAGGACGAGAGAAATGTAGTTAACGAGTATTGACTCATGAAACTCGTAGTTATAGTGATATTTTAAGATAAGATCATAATGGCTAATAATTATAGAATAATTACATAATCAAATCTCCCGTATTATATACAACCATGAATAAATGTAACAACTTATTATCAACATGTCTAAACAATTTATTATTTTGTAAATTAGGGCTGTATTCCCATTTGCCATCCACAAAAGCACTTTGTTTTTCTTTTTATTTCACTTTCCATTTCTTTTCATTCTGTGTACCCAATGACTTGTAGATCCCTTCACTTATGCCTAAGCACACTAAGAAAACAAAAGTATGTTTGCAAGAGTGCAGTTCTCTATATCATATGTATGTTTTTCTTTGAAGAGAGTGAGAAGTAGCTGGAATGATGTCTACATTTAGTTTTTCCTTACAACAGACTCAAATTATTGCTGCGGCTGCTGCCGGTGTGGCAGCTGAGGGGTTGTCCCCAGAAGATGCTAAGGCAGAGGCTGATAATGCTGCTCAGCTTTCTGTTGCTTTAGTAGAGAATGCTATTGTGATACTTATGCTTGTTGAGGATCACTTACGGTTACAAAGCAAACAATTCTCTTCTGCACGTGTTGTAGATACTTCTCCATCACCCCTTTCTGGGTTGTATCCGTACAATAACAGCTCAGCCTCATTGTCTACAATTGGAGAATCAACAGAAGCTGTGGAAAATCGAAGATCTGTACTTAGTGATTCTGTAGGACTCCCTTTAGAGGTATGCATGCTGCAATCTTGAATTAGATGTGCATGTTGTGTCATAATAAGTTGTTTGTGAAGTTTTGTAATTGTGCATTTTCAGTACTGCTTGTCATTCCTTCAAGATCCTTGCGATGTTTGCATGGCAGCCCCTATTTAATAACACCTCTTTGGGGAAAATATTTATACATGTTCACCGGGCATTTGTTTTATTTTTATTTTATTTTTTCCTCAACTTCTCTAGTTTATGAACTTAGGCTTTGGACTTTAGAAGATTATTTATGGTTTGAACTCACCTTCTTGTAAATATATTCTGCATTTGTTCTTAGCCTTCTTTTTTGTTCTAGTCTTACGTGTGCTAATTTTTAATATTGGTGACCCTTGCTGTTACATTTGACAGATCCTTTCTTCAATGGCTGATGCGAATGGTCAGATCTCTTCTTCATTGATGGAAAGGCTTACTGCAGCTGCTGCGGCTGAACCATATGGATCTGTTTCTTATGCTTTTGTGTCATATGGGTCTTGTACTAAGGATATAGCTGATGGCTGGAAATATAGGAGCCGTTTGTGGTATGGTGTTGGCCTTCCATCAAAGACAGTGCAATTTGGCGGCGGTGGGAGTGGATGGGATTGTTGGAACTCTGCTCTAGAGAAAGATGCTGATGGCAACTGGCTTGAACTTCCTTTGGTAAGGAAATCTGTGGCAATGCTTCAAGCATTATTGTTGGATGAGTCTGGGCTTGGTGGTGGTCTTGGTATTGGTGGAGGGTCAGGTACTGGAATGGGAGGGATGGCTGCATTGTACCAATTGTTAGACAGTGACCAACCATTCCTGTGCATGCTTCGAATGGTTCTTCTATCGATGAGGGAAGATGATGATGGAGAGGAACATATGTTGATGAGGAATGCAACTGAGGATGGGATGCCTCAAGGAAGGAAACCCCGCTCTGCACTACTGTGGAGGTAAAACAATTTTCGATGTTTATCTTATTTCCAGTCCATAGTTTATCCATTAATGAATAGCCTCTGAATAAATGTTGACTTGGAGAAGTTTCATACGGATGGCCACAATTGGATGCTTTTTCCGCCTCTCTGGTTAGCCGATACTTAAGATGCACCTTTTCATCTTCACAGACGACCTCCTTAGAAATATTTTGATTTACTCTTGAAATAGAATCTTAATTGTCATATCTCAATTTTGTCCCCGTAGAACTAATTTCTATAAGGTTGATTTTTCATCTATCTAAAACAAATATGCACCACAAGATTGTTCAAGCTATTCAATGTCAGTGTGCTGTCTACACAATACACATGATGAACATTTGATCACATCTTTAGCAGCTTTGCATAACAAGAAATTTCAACATAACTAATTTGTACAGCATATTAAGTATGCCGTATGGACACAACCAATAATAGATGAAAACTGCATATGGTCAAAACTCCCAAGTAGTCAAGAGAAGCTTCCATGGTGATGTTAAAATATGTATTGTTAAGCACATGCTTCATCATCACTCCTCAAGTGGGGAAGTAAGTATTCTTTGAACCTAGTTTGAAACTCTAATTCTTCATTTTGTTCATAGAGGATGGTATTTTTCACCATATTGATAGCGGGCATATTATCATGCATAAACTTCATAGGTTTCTCCAAGAAAGTGTCTAACTCTTGGAGAACCTTCTTAATCAAGATTCCTTCAAAAACACCCAAGTCAAGTGCTAAAAATTCAGTTTTTGCTTCTACACGGCTCCTTATAAAAATGTGATGCTTCGTGCTCCTCCATGTAGCTAGGTTACTACATCAAATGTAGTGGACCTTCTATTTGTCAGGGAGCCTTCCTATTCTTCACAGAACGTGCCTTTACTAGGGTAAATCTTCAAATAGCCTAAAATCCTATAAACTCCTAAGTCATCTTTTGTTGTCTTGTTCATAAATTTTACCAGTGATTCTGGCAACTGATGTCGAGATGTGTATTAGAAAGGTAAATCAACTTAACCATTAACCTTGGTACCTTTTAATATCCTAGCATTGCCTTTCATCTTAAGATGAAGCTTACTTTTGATTTGCGTTTGGGTTTTGCACACGGATGCTAGTAAACCTGGAGTATACTTTCTTTGAGCGATGATAATGTCCCTCTTTGTCGTTGCCACCTTAATACCTAAAGAGGGCTCTTGGGCCTGATGGTGTCTTGCCATTATGATTATGGAGGAAAAGGAAAAGCTTGAAATGGAGTAGTTGAATATTGACATACACAAGGCTTCTTATTTATAGGGATGCAAGACAAGGCTTTAAAGGCTCATAAGTATGTCATAATATTTCTATTAATTACATAATCTTAAATTACTGATCAGAAAAATTGTTAAACCAGCCTATTTACTCTTCAAGAGCCATAATCTCATGACGAGAATATCATCCACAAGAGTGATTGAGGTTGCAATTTCCGTAGATGCTGACTGACACTTTGACACTGAACCAATTCCCCCAACAACAACATCACCCACTGTTGCTTTACTTTTGTATGAACAATATCAAATATATCCTAAAATATCTGCATTTTTTTGTGTGCATCTACACGTGCGTGCGCACACGCATATCTTCAGCAAATTTAAATTTCCATTACTTCATTGTTGTTAGTGTCCTTTATTCATTACACCTGCATAAATATTTAACTAACACTTTACAGTTTTGCAATTTTTTCTTTCATCATTATTTGAACAAATTTTTTGAAGACATAATATGAGGAAAACATTGATGGTTTATTGAATTATCTACTCTTTTCTTAAACAGTGTTCTTTCACCTGTTCTCAACATGCCAATTTCTGACTCTAAGAGACAGAGAGTTTTGGTAGCCTGTTCGGTGCTTTATTCTGAGGTTTGTGTTTTCAGTGCTGAACATATTATTTTTACGTACTTTATGAAGCATGTGTCATTTGCCCTTTTTTTAAAAAAAAAAAAAATTTCTAGACAACCATGATGATGGTACAACTTGTTGTCAGGTATATCATGCTGTGGGCAAAGACCAAAAGCCTCTTCGTAAGAAATACCTTGAGGCTATTGTACCCCCATTTGTTGCTGTCTTAAGGAGGTGGCGGCCTGTTTTGGCTGGAATTCATGAACTTGCTACTGCTGATGGTTTAAATCCTCTAACTGTTGATGATCGTGCATTGGCTGCTGATGCCTTGCCCATTGAGGTATTTTCATACGCATTTATACTTAACACTGGATCAAATATATATCCATACGTATTGCTGAATAATATGATTAAACCAATCACACATGTGTAAGACAAATTTCTAAGAAGGACACTGGTCTGTGTTTACAAAAGGCATCCACATGTGGATATCTCTGCTGAAGCTTTATCCACCTTGGGGTATTAACTACAAATGAGCAATTTCATGTTTGTTTCTTTATACTCGTCACTTAGTTCTGTGCTTTTAGACAGGATGGGATTTATTAGATATTTTAAATCCAAAAAATTTTGTTATGTAATTTGATTAGGCATGCGATCTTTGCATAGACCAATTATCTATTTAGAGATGCTCCTATGCCTTCGGTTAACAACATAATTCAGATCATTAATTTCTGAATTCTTTCATAGTACGTAGAGCTATAAGGGTCACAATTGGAGCCCTAAACACTGAGCCAGTATCTAACTAGGGCCTCCCACTTAGGCACATTGTCATTAAACTGTAACAATGGAGTTTACTCTAGCCCAAATCACCTCATCATTTCAATGAACACCAATTATTTGTAGTGGTCACAATGTGCACTTGTTGCAAATAGAGCACAATGGCATCATAGGATTCATGCAGTTGATACCACATAAGGGATGTTTGGTTGGAAATCAAACCATTGTTTTAAAAGTGACTTTACAGTATACGAAGTAAGTATGTGAGGGGAGTTTTATCTACACTTGTGTGAAAGCACTTTTTAAAAGTGCTTTTGGGTTAAACCTAACACCCCCTTAGTGGGATAAGGGTGATTATTGTTTCAATGTGCTCTTGTTTACACTAGAGGGGACAAGAAACTGAAGTGCCCGGTCAATCTTGTGCATAGCTCTAGTTGTAGATCACTTGAAAGGAAAATTCTAAGTGGTGCAAGATGGTCTCTTGCATTTGCCGGTGATCATGCAAGATTAATCTGGGTTTGTCTTTTCATGAGAAAAAAAAGAAGAAGAGGAGTTTGTCAATTTTTTAAAACCTTTCATAAACTTGTTCAAAATCAATTCAAAACAAGTACTAAATGTCCTCCAAGTGATATGACCAAATTCAGATTTAATACTTCACGAGGATGATATTTTGGGAAACAAGGTATTATCTCGTGTATGATGCATAATCTTAGGCTTGATTTTATAATTCTACGATTTACCTGTAGCCATCTCATGGATTGTAGCTCAATAGGGGATGAGGAGGCCATTGGGTCTTGGCAGATGTTCCAATCTTCCCATGGTCAATCATAAAACAAAAACAAAATGTATCATGAATTTAATTAAGCCGGAAATTTTTGATATTATTAGATTAGTAATTACTCCTCCAGTCCTTATAGTTTTTGAGTTGATCGTGGTCCTAAATATAAGACCTATTTCGCGTATTTTTTAGTTTTTCTTAAATTATCCCTATTGATACTTCCTGAATCATAATCAAGTAGGAAAAGAAAGGAGAATATTAAGGAAAATAATTATGGTGTTTTAGGAAAAACGTGTCATATTTCATATAATTAACTAACTTACTTGACTTTTTTAATCTAACCAAATTAGTTAAATAGGTCTTATATTAAGGACCAGAGAGTAATAATTTAGTATTACATAATGATATAACATAATACATAGCATTATAATATAATTCTAATATAACCTATTATATTATATTGGGCTAAATTCTTAGGTACTCTAGTCTAACTTGGGATCCTAATTAGACCACGTTAATTTCAATTTTGTACTGCTTTTTCTGTGCAACCTTGTGGCTTTTTCATTTCAGTGGCAGTTATTATAAAGCTTATTTTAATATCAGAAACAGAGAGTATCGTAGCAATATGTCACTGCCATTCAAGTCTATCATTCAACATATCCAATTTGTGATCAATGTTCCGTGTAGTATTGTACTGTAGTCTCTTTTGTCCAAATATCACGATTGAATTGAGGCATGGAATTCATTATCCTTTTTACAATTCATTTCGTGTTTATTTGATCCATGAGTGTACTAACTTAAAACAAATGAATCATATATATTTCAAATGAGCACAACGATACATTTTGTTTTCTTAATAAATTTCATATCACTCCTCCCTTGGGGAAGGGACAAAGTCCTCTCTTGATCATAAACATCTCTTGCATGATTTTTATATACTCAAACATTGGCTATCTTTGTTACAAGTGAAGCTGTAAGGTGTTAAATTATTTGACTCCATGTGTAGGGAGCCATGATGTTTTTAGGTCAAATCACCACACTCATCATGGCCACTATGAGAATTGATTATGACATTTACTCAGTGGTACATGTATCATTTTCCTAGCAGGTTGTATCTTGACTAAATATCTCATTATCTATAACCATGGTCATCAGTCAACTTTGATACTCGTCATGTGTTACTGCCATCTTTGCTTGCGATAATACTTCAGGCGCATTTTAATGAATAATGAAATATGATGATTGAATTTCCTTTAAACGAAGCACAATGTATGCAAACAATGATCTTATAGTTGGCTTCTAGAGCAGATAACAATATCTTTATCTATCTGCACTGGGGGCCACCTCCATTACATTCATGATTGATGAAAGTAAAGAGCTGCTACAAGGGAGAGAAAATGCACCACTGACTGAGTAACCTTAAGCTTTTCCCTCCAATGTTCTGATACAATAATGAATGCAAGATGGGAGAAAATCCTTTGTGTGACATGTTGCAAGTGTATCCTGACTTACAGTGGCTATAATATTGTTCTGGTTCCATGGTTGTGATTTATGTACCACATGGCTGTAGTCCAAACTAATTCAGCATATGGATAGCAGAGCGAGCATTTGCAGATATGGACAGCAATCATTCACGCTAATATAAAAGCTTATAACAGCTATATTTAACATATTGTTGACCTTTAAAACTGAAGCATAATGAGTTGGTCTTTTTATGTTTGTGTTATTTAGTTCTATGTGCCTGTCTGTATAATTCTTCTGCAACATTGGATGTTCAAAAAAGGTTGTTGAGCGCTGAAGATATTATTCCTTATCTTACTTGGTACTCTTTTTTTTTTTTTTTGGGTGGATATAGCTACTTTTATCTAATGATGAATCTGTTATTTCTTTCAGGCTGCTCTTGCTATGATATCTCCGCCTTGGGCTGCTGCATTTGCGTCTCCACCTGCTGCAATGGCATTGGCAATGATTGCAGCTGGGGCTTCAGGAGGTGAAGCCCCAGCCCCTGCAACAACTGCCCATCTTAGGCGTGATACCTCACTGCTGGAGCGCAAACAGGTTAGGCTCCACACATTTTCAAGTTTTCAAAAGCCTCTAGAACTCGCCGGGAAAGCACCACCACTTCCCAAGGACAAGGCTGCGGCAAGAGCTGCTGCTTTAGCGGCTGCACGTGATTTTGAGAGATTTGCAAAGGTTGGTTCTGGACGAGGTCTTAGTGCTGTTGCAATGGCTACATCTGCACAACGAAGAAGTGCTGGTGATGCAGAGCGTGTTAAGAGGTGGAGTATCACTGAAGCTATGGGAGTTGCCTGGATGGAATGTTTGCAGCCAGTTGATACGAAATCAGTGTATGGGAAAGATTTTAATGCTCTGTCCTATAAATTTATTGCTGTTCTTGTCGCCAGTTTTGCACTGGCGAGGAATATGCAACGGTCTGAGGTTTGTTCACAATCTGTGGCTGGGTTTTCTAATTATTGAGAATGGTATTACCATATGTTAACTTTATTGTCTACTAGATTGACAGGCGTGCTCAAGTGGATGTAATTACCAGGCATCGAATCCATAATGGAATTCATGCATGGCGGAAACTCATTCACCAGTTAATGGAAATGGGAAGTCTTTTTGGGCCTTTAGCAGATCAGCTAAACAACCCACCTTGTGTATGTTGTGATATACTGTTCAAACTGGCATCACTATAGTTTTCATTCTTTGCATCGTCTAATATTTTTATGGGCATAGATGCCATCTTTGTAAGAGTGAGGAGAAGTATATTTGCCCAGAATGAAATTTGAAAAATTGCATGGCAAGTTCAACCATTGTATTTTCTGGCAAACTAGACTGTGTTCCTGAAATTCTTTATTTCTCAAAAGTCTTTTCTTCTCCTTTTGAATTTTTTTTTTCTCTTTTCAGGATTTCTTGTATTTTTAACTTACAGTCGCTTTAATTAAAATTTTCTTATACGTAAAAAAAAAAAAAACAAAATCACCTGTTAGGATTGATTATGTTTTATAATTAATTTTAATCTTAAATTTTTTCAGGTTTTTTGGAAGCTAGCTTTTATGGAAAGTTCTTCAAGGATGAGACGATGTCTGAGGAGGAATTACGAAGGGACAGATCATTTAGGTGCTGCTGCTAATTATGATGATTATTCTGTGGAGAGAAAGGACCAGAGTGCTCCAGTTTTGTCAGCAGAAGCAATCTCAATAGAAGAACTCGAAGAAGATGACGAGCATGCAGAAATTACGGATGGGAATGGTGTGGTCGTTGATATTGAATTGAAGGGAGAGAATGAACCCAGAACTTCTGAATCAGCTGAGCAAGCCCTGCATGCATCTATTGAATCTACTGGTGCTCAGCTTGCAAGTGATGAAAATTTTGTCCAGAATTCATCAGTGATTGCCCCTGGGTTTGTTTTTAGTGAACTTGATGAAAGAATTGTTATTGAGCTGCCGTCATCAATGGTCCGGCCACTTAAGGTTGTTCAGGGAACCTTCCAAGTAAGTTTTATGGGCTTAAGTTGGAAGTTGCTTATATTTTAAAGAGAGCTAACAATTTGGTCTGTGAACTGCGATGCCCATGTAGCTTTAGTCTCTTGAAAACTAATTTAGTGAGTGCACAAGACCATCGTGGCAGCTAACACTTGTAGAAAATTAGTGCTTTACATGCTATGAGTTTATTAGTTATTTTAGAACTGGGTCATCTATTCACTAAAGCTGAATAGATTTAACTATATTGCTGAGATCTAATAATACAAACTTCTATTTTAAGCTGGTGTGTATAAATATGTGGTTATTGGCAGGAATGAATAAAAATTCCAGAAAGCTGGGTGAGAAGAATTGGAGAAAAAACTTTTGCTCCAAAATTGGACACCCTGCTTTTGGCACATGAAAATGACTATTGTGTACACCAAATCTTGCTCGTGGGGGTTATCAGATGTCTCTCCACTTGACATGATGGATGAGCCTTTTCACTTTAAAAAATTAAAATAATCATAGATAACAACCCAAGTTGACGGTGCTTATATTGAAAGACAGTAATGGTGAAAAAGCAGTATGACGAGCTTGAACTTTCCTCCCATCAAGGTGACAAGTGGAGAGACAATCAATAAAGCCAACATGGAAGATTTGCTAAACATGATGCTCATTTTCATGCCTCAAGATGAAACAACCCAATCGCCTATTTGTTGGTCCAGTTTTGTTTTATCCTTTTTTATCGTAAATTTTAATTTATTAAAGAAATGGTCATGAAGTTTTGCTGCATTATAGGTCATGAAAAATTCCAGTTGCTTAGTTCAGTTCTTATTTAATTGATGTTAAATTGAGAAATAATCAAGAATATGCAAAATTTGTTGAATGTGGTTTTGATGTCTTCTACCTTGGGTCATTTCCACCAAAGTCAATTGAAAAGATTTGGTAAAGAGAAGGGAATACAAAGTTTCGTAGCATTGCATGGTCCTTGGGGTTCTGAGGTTTGTCTTGATGGAAAGAAATGTCTGTTTCACTGTTTCTGACGGCCAAGGAGATTGGGAAGCTTTGTTTCATTCAATAATTTTTCCATTTTAATTTAGAATTTGTCTTATATAGTTTTGTGTCAGAATCGAATTAATTTTCTTTATTTGAGGTCTTTTTATCCTATAACTTTGTTGATGTGTTCTTTTCCTATCGTTTATGCGGATTCTTTTATATTGAAGTACTAGGTAGCAATTATTTGTGGGATATTCCAAGCATACAATTCTGTACTTGCGCTAATATCATTTTTTGAGTGTACCATTTGAGCTAATATTCTTGTTGATGAAATTTCATGAAACTTTTATTTCAAGGGAAAGATATGTAAAATATTTTGCATGTCTTTGCTAAGCTATGCTATGTGTAGTAACGCTGAGTGCCCTTCTCTGGTTGAAGGTAACCACAAGAAGGATAAATTTTATAGTTGATAACAGTGAGATTAGCACCCCAAAGGAAGGGCTAGACCCCAGTTTTGAGGAAGGAGACCGAGAAAAGGACCGCAGCTGGTCAATGTCAACTCTTCATCAAATTTATAGCCGAAGGTGAGCCTCTCTCTTGCTCGCAAATTAAAAACTATTTAAGACTTTCTCCTTGCTTTGTATATACTTGCATTCAAGTCTGAGTATATCAACTTAGGTGGTATCTATCCAAGAGGAAATAGTTTAAATCAGCTCCAAAGTTGAGATTATATTGGGTTATTTTAATCTATCCAGCCTTATACAATGAACAGAATGGAGCCTATCTGTCTTCTGCTAGACCCTGAAGCCTCCTAATTTATATTCGTTTTTATTTTCATTAATTCCCTGAGAAGGGAAATTTTTATTCCTTCGAAATAAATCTGGAGCTTGATGTTCCTTTAAAGTTGAAGTTGCTTGTTTGGATATCAGCAAAGAATAGGTTTCAATATAATGGCATCTTTCAAAATTATAGATAACTCTGGTTGGTGGGAAGTGCTTGAATTTTCAGGGGTTCCTTCTGTCCTCTATATATGTTTATATTCGTGGCATGTCTCAGATATCTCTGCTTCCGTGTCTTGTTCTCTTCACTTATTGGTTCTTATTCAGGAGGACATTTTATCTTCTCATATACTTCACGTTCCATCTTGAAATTTCTTCCAAGAGTTGATAGAATACTTTCTTTTTCTTAAATGCTGAAGTATCTGCTTTTGAAGATTTTGTCCAGTCAATTTTTCTAAATGTTGGTTTCTGCTTCAGATATCTCCTTAGAAGAAGTGCTTTGGAGCTCTTTATGGTTGACCGATCAAACTTCTTCTTTGACTTTGGGGTACTTATTAGATGCACCGCTTTTGTAGTTCTCATAGCACTGTAATTCTGGCTGTTTCTCTGAAAATTCGGAATTTTGTGCTGATAATCCTACTCTTTATCTGTCTTTGTCCTCTTTTCCTCTTCAGAGTATTGAGGGGCGAAAAAATGCATATCGAGCAATTGTCCAAGCACGTCCTCCTCATTTAAACAACATGTATTTGGCTACGCAGGTTGAATCCTTTCGGTGACTCTATTCTTCTCTTTCATTTTCTTTTTTCTCTCCCTTTCTGTCTGGTCTTATGATCAGTATTTCCGTAAATGTACTTTAGTTCTAGCTTGGCGTTCTCTGCAGTTTAGTCTTTTATAAAGGATTGATACTTTTGGTCCAAGAATATGAAAAATTAACTCTCTTTTTCTTAGCAGAGACCTGAACAACTTTTAAAAAGAACCCAACTTATGGAACGCTGGGCAAGATGGGAGGTATGAAGCAGGCCTTAATTCATTCAATATGCACTGTTTCATAGTTTGCATCCTCAGAGGTATATGAAGTTCATCTTGTCCTTGTGCAGATCAGCAATTTTGAATATTTAATGCAGCTCAATACATTGGCTGGACGTAGTTATAATGATATCACTCAGGTTGATCTTCACTTTTAATGTAGTTCTATTATTAATCTCTTGCCTCATATCCTTATTCCGTTAATAATAGTATTACTGCTATGCGTACCTGGCAGTATCCAGTCTTCCCCTGGGTCCTTTCTGATTACAGCTCAAAGAGCTTGGATCTTTCTAATCCTTCGTGTTACCGAGATCTGTCAAAGGTTCTTTTCCTGAATGTTCTCTCAATCAGTTAATGTTTTCCTATTTTTCATTATTTTTTATTTGTTGCTAAAGCATTTTATTTTATTGCAGCCTGTTGGTGCACTGAACTCTGATCGACTAAAAAAATTTCAAGAGAGATACTCTAACTTTGATGATCCAGTCATCCCCAAATTCCATTATGGATCACACTATTCGAGTGCAGGAACGGTGGGTTTACCCTTCATTTTCCTGCTCTTTTTTTTGGTCCTTATCACAGTAGATTATTAGTCTTGTAGTGTACAGGTTTTTAGTAGTTAGCTTTTCTGAGAGGGTTTCCTACCATAGTTGGGTACCCATCAAAGTGTTCTTCTTTTTTTTAAGTGAATTTGACTGCTTTTTTAATTTCTTCTTTTGTGTTTTCTGATCTATGTAATGTTCTTTTTCAGGTCTTGTATTATCTTGTTCGAGTCGAACCATTTACCACCCTTGCAATACAACTGCAAGGAGGAAAATTTGATCATGCTGATAGAATGTTTTCTGACATTGGTGCTACCTGGAATGGTGTTCTTGAGGACATGAGCGATGTGAAAGAATTGGTATATGTTTATTAATATTTCGGCAAAATGATTGTTTGATCTACTTGTTTGCTAAAAGTAGGTAATTTATCTTTCTTTCTTTCTTTTTTTGTGTGTGTGGGGTTAAGTGGGGCTTTCAGAGGACCTATAAGGAGGAACTATTCAAGGATCTTTCATTTGCTTTTAATAAGTTCTAAAATGGTCCTTCATAGGTATCAAAGTCCTTTACATCTATTCAAGTTCTAGCACACAAATGGCGGATTGTGTTTGTCCACATTGTCATGGAGATTTTAGACTTTTGAATTAAATGGGCATGATAATTCTATTACAATTTGGGAAAGGGGCATTTATAGTCCTCTAACTTTATACAATGCTTTAGTTTGGTCCCTTAATTTTAAAACGTACCTTTTCAGCTTTCTAACTCTAACACCATTAGTCTCAAATAATAATCGTTTTAAAAGGTGATTGTTATTTTGAAAATTTTACATCATATATCAGCATTTGAGAATGTTCTGTCCACATTTAAAATTTCCATACTAGCATTTTTAAGAATGACGTTAGGGTTGAAGGACTAAAAATACATTTTCTATAATTAAGGGAAAAAAATGAGACCTTGTGGAAAGGACTGAAAGTGTACTTTTGCCTTGGAATTTTGTGACATGCACTATCATTTCAAAACACTTTGGCTTAAACTTCACTACAGGACAACTATACAAGATGCTGAAACTTGATGAGGATGGCTTTGAGCATTTAACCCCTAGCCAGTTGGTAATAAATGTTATGGCATGTCAGTGACCTGCAGGCCTATTATAGGCGTGTTATTAAAAATAATTAGTGTTTCAATTTAGCAATATCATGTGTTATTTTGTTTTCAGAATAGTTAAGATATTTTTTAATTAATCTTTTTTTATTCTTCTCCATGATTTTCGAGTGGATGAGCATCCATAATTCTCCTTTTAAGTATTGATGTACTGTTGCTGTTCTTTACTGAAAATTAGCTGTGCGAAACTATGTTGAGGACAATTTCTGATTAAAAGAAAAATGCGAGGTCTTATGAAAGTTCTATCATAATATAATCTCAATCAGATTATTTTCATATGAAATCCGTATGATGGTGATAAGACCCAACCCAGAAACTCTAAACTTTTACTATTTGAAAACAGAATACCCACGAAGATACAACCAAAAGCTAAAAACTCATTACCTTCATAGAACAAACACTAATCTGTCACGCATTGAAGGGAGGATGACGGCTACAAATTCAGATTACTACACCACATATACAGAAACAGTAAACAAAGACACAAGCCACAAACCACAGTTAGGACACGCTACCTCCAACTAACAGACTTGCCAAACTTTCGAGAGGTTGGCTCTCTCCTTCCCACAAGGGCCCAGCTCAATACAAAAGTTCTCCTCCTCCGGCTGACCCCAAGAGGACGATTTATAGACCACAAAAAGTGACTTTCCCAACCCTCTCATAGCCCTGACCATAGTCACCCTACAGCAACCCTACTTTTCTACTTCTTTCTCCAAAATAGGAAGTCAAAGTTCTGACCCACAAAAGCATCTTTTCCCTTTTTCATGTATTTTCCTAATTTTCCAAAAGTAATCCTAACAGAAGGTTAGTTTTTACCTGTATCTTAACCAGTTCTTTTTTCAATTTACAATAGGTTCCTGAGCTATTTTACCTCCCTGAAGCTCTCACAAATGGGAATTTGATTGATTTTGGCACCACGCAATTGGGAGAGAAGCTTGGTATGCTTATTGAGATTGTGTTTGTTTTTTGGGAAGAACTTTGCTCGCATTAAAGGATTGATCTCTTTTCTATTTTCTTCTATCATATTAGATGCTGTTAAACTTCCTCCTTGGGCTGAGAGTCCAATTGATTTCATCCATAAGCATCAGATGGCGCTCGAGAGTGAATATGTATCTGCTCATTTGCATGAGTGGATTGACCTCATTTTTGGGTGGGTTTCGCCTGCATGTATTTATGTGTGCTCTTTCTCTTATGTAATTTTCACAATTACTCGTTTGCAATGTCAATATTTGATTTGAATCTCTCTCTGGATTTACATTTTTCTTGGGGATTTCATTGATGATTTATTGCTAGCATCTATGTAAATGATTTGGACCATGTAGGTACAAGCAACGAGGTAAAGAAGCTATTGGAGCAAATAATGTTTTCTTTTACATTACTTATGAAGGAGCAGTGGATATTGATAAAATTTCTGACCCAGTAAGTCTCTGTTGCTCTTAAAATTTAATCAATTGGTATTTGAGAAATGATTTGCATGAATGATACACGAAGCAATATAATATTCCAATAAATTATTTTTTTAAAACCTGAACAGATTGTGGGGACAAAAGTCTGTTTTTTGGGCTATGAGGAGTGCAGTTGGGGAACCCCTACAACCCCTTCGTTCTTTACCGTGGTGTGTATGTGCTTGGTTGAATGAATCATAAGTGTAGATGATAGAGACCTTATAAGGGGCATTCAGGTGGAACAGAAGGGATTGTGGTGTCCCATTATCAGTTTGCAGATGACCTTATAAGGGGCATTCGGGTAGATAATAGATTATTGAATGAATCATAAGGGTATTTTGATTACCAAAACATGTGCAGTTAGGATTGCCATGAAAAAGCCCAACCAGACACGTGCAGATTGGTAATGAGATCTCGATTACCATTACAGTGGAGGCTAGGCAATGTATCAAACAAGCCCTAATGGCTTCTATCTATTCATCTAAGGACTGTCTCTTGGGATGATGACCCGTTAATCAAGTCAGTCTTTATTGCAAATCTGTTTAGGAATTATCAATATCAATTTATTTTATAGAATTAGATGCTCCCAATAGATATTTTATTTAACATATGGAGAAGGTACTTATAGCCGTAGGACCTAGGTTTAGCAGATACACTAGGGCTGGCCAGATTACAATAGAATCTAGGTAAATCAAAGTAACAAATCAACAACTCAAAAATCAAATTAATAATCCGTGATTCTAGGGATCACTTAAAATACTAATCTGATTAATTAAAATAGAATATGGGCTTAAGGCCCAAGGGCGTTGAACTCAACACTCCCCCTCAAGTTAGCAAATAGATGTCTATCATACCAGCTAGCTTATGAGTTCTTCAAATTGTGATTTTGCTACTGTTTGGTAAAGAGATCTCCTACTTGACAATGTGAAGGAACATGAGCTAGTTCAATAATTCCTGCATCTTCCTTCTCTTTGATAAAGTGCTTGTCAATATCCACATGCTTTGTTCTTTCATGATGAATTGGATTTCTAACCATAGCAATAGCAGACGTACTATCACACCTTAGTCTTGTAGGTGTGCTCGGTGCCAGCCTCAAGTCTCTTAGCACCCAGATTATCCATAACCCTTCACAAACTCCTTGAGCCAAGGCTCGTAGTTCAACACTGCTTCTGGAGACTACTGTCTGTTTCTTATTTCTTCATGTTACCAGATTGCCACACACCATAGTACAGTAACCTGAAGTAGATCTTCTATCCGGTAGAAAACCTCCATGATCAGCATCAGTGTACACAATTATCTCCTGAGTCTTGCCTTTAGCAAAGTAGAGACCTCAGCCTGCGATCATTTTTAAGTAATGCAAGATTCTGTGGACAGCATTCATATGTTCTTCTAAAGGTTCATTTGTGAACCGACTAACAACACCAACCGCATAGCTTATGTCAGGAGGAGTATGAGAAAGGTACAGAAGTTTACCAACTGGTTTTTTATATCTATCACCATCAACAGGAATTGATTCCTTCTTTGGTCACCTTTTGCCCCTGCTGAGATTCCTTCTTCTTCTTCCTCCTCCCTTTTGTCATCAAGCTTGCAAGCAGGTTCCATTGGCATCTCAGGTGGTTTAGCTCCCAGCATTCTTGTTTCTCTCAACAAATCCAGGGTATACTTCCTTTGTGAGACAACAATTCCATCTTGAGATCATGCTACTTCCATTCTTAGGAAATTTCTGAGGCCTCCCAGGTCCTTGACCTCAAATTCTTGTTCTAGGAATATCTTGGGTTTTGCAATCTCATTTGTGTCATTACCAGTCAAGATTATATCATCAACATAAATGATAAGGATTGCTACCCTACCTCTTGAGTGTTTTACAAACAGAGTGTGATCAGATTGGCATTGAGTAAATCCGGCCTTCTTTATTGACTTAGTAAACCTCTCAAACCAGGCTCTAGGTGACTGTTTCAAGCCATAGAGAGGTTTTTGAAGCCTGCATGATAGCCCAGGGTTGTTATACTCAGATAATCCTTATGGAACGTCCATGTACACTTCTTCTTCTAGGTCCCCATTCAGAAAAGGATTTTTTACATCAAGTTGATGTAAGGGCCAATCAAATTGGTTGCTAGTGATAGGAGTATTTGAATGGTATTCAGTTTTGCCACTGGGGCAAAAGTCTCTTGGTAATCTACACTATATGTCTGAGAGTACCTTTTTGCCACTAATCTGGCTTTGTACTTGTTGATTATCCCATTAGGGTTGTATTTCTTGGTGAAAACCCATTTGCAGCCAACTGTTTTCTTTCCTAATGGTAATGTCATGATTTTCCATGTTCCATTTACTTGTAGAGCCCTTAATTCTTCCATGATGGCCTTATGCCAATTTGGGTCTCAGATAGCTTCATCAAAGCTATTGGGTAATCTGTCATCTGCTGTTTTACTAGCAAACTCTGCATACATGGAGATAATCGGTCATATGAAACAAAATCACCAATAGGATGCTGAGTGCATTTTCTTACCCCCTTTCTGAGTGCAATAGGCCACCCAAAATCATTAGAACTTGTAATTGGAGTTGAGTCTTGGCGCTGCCCACTACTAGAGGCTTCTTCTGGATTTATACTTGTTTCTTCACTTTCAGATTCTGCATCATTTAGATCTGTTCCTCTACTATTCTGAGAGGTGTCACCAGTGTCTTCCAAATTTCCACTGTCTGCCCTCGGACTTGCCATATCCTCTTCCATTTCAGGTCTGGTTCTGGTATTTGGAGCAGGAATTTGTGAGTTTAGTTCTTGGGTTTGGGTATTTGGCTCAGATCTAGTGGTGAAGATTTCAAGAAACTCCCATTCCCTCTCAGATTGCCCCTGAATGGGTGTTTTGGTATAGAAGCTAAGAGTTTCATTGAATGTGATGTTCATGGTAACAAAAAAATTTTTGAGAGTGAGTAAGTAACATTGATATCCCTTTTGAGTATAAGAATAACCCAAAAATATGCATTTATAAGCCCCAGGATCAAGTTTCCCACTAGAATCATTGTGAACATAGGCCACGCACCTAAAGACTTTCTCGAGTAAGTTATTTTGGAATGGATTGGTAGGGGAAGTTTTGGTTAGAAGCTGAATGGGAGTCTTAAAGTTTAGTATTTTGGAGGGGAGTTTATTAATCAAGTGGACAGCAGTGAGAAGGGCCTCTCCTCAGTAATATTTTGGAACATTAGGAGTCATCATAAGAGCCCCAGTTGCTTCTAAGAGATGCTGGTTTTTCCTTTCAGCAGTTCCATTTTGTTGGGGTGTGTTGACGTAGCTTGTTTGGTGGATAATACCTTGGCCTTTTAGGTAGGTCTGAAGAGTGGAGTTAGTATATTCGGTTCCATTGTCACTACATAGTACTCTGATGGAAGTTTTAAACTGGTTTACAATCATTTTGTGGAAGTTTAGGAAGGTTTGAGTGAGGTCAGATTTTTCTTTAAGAGGTACAACCAGGTAACCCATGTGTGATCGTCAATAAAAGTGACAAACCATTTGCAATGGGTTAGATTTGCAACTCATGAAGGGCCCCAAAGTCACTGTAAATTAATGCAAAGGGCTCAGAGAATTGATGAGGATAGTGATAATAAGAATTCTTTGTATGCTTAGACAACTGACACACTTCACATGGAATTAAATCAGAAATTTTATTCATAAACTTTGGAAATAACTTTGACATGTACTTAGAGATAGGATGACCTAGTCTATAGTGCCATAACAACACATCTTCATTAGAAATCTGAGTAGAAAAACACTTTCCAGCAGCAACATTCAGGTTTTCCTAAGGATTTTAGATGAGATTGATCTTCCACACAATATAACCCCTCTAGTACTTCAGCGGCGCCAATCGTCTTCCCCAACTCCAAGTCCTGAAACACACACCGAACAGCAGAGAAATTAACATGACAATTCTGTGATACAGTGACTTTATTCATTGATATAAGATTGCATTTCAAATCTGGAGCATATAACACATCTGTGAGCAGCAGATTATCAAACAAGGATGCTTCTCCAATTCCTTTAACCTTTATAAACTTCCCATCAGCTACTTTAATAAACATTGGATGAGGACAAGGCTTTGCATTGTTAACAAGTTTCAGATTACCAGTCATGTTATCAGTAGCCCCTGAATCAACTATGCACATATGTCCATGATGAACATTAGTTTTGGGGGCTAGAATGGCATTACCTGTGTAAGCAACATTACCAGTAGCTACTAACTTTTCTCTAATATCATGCTTTTCAAGTAATTTTCTAAGGAAATCTGCTTCTTCCTTAGTCATGGAGCACCCAGTCTCGGCTCCAAGTTCAGCATTGTTCGCAAATGCCCTAGTTTCTTGTCTGCCTCTCCCTTTGCCGTTTGAGGCCTTACCATGAAGTTTCCAGCAGACTTCTTTGGTGTGACTAGATTTTTGATAATGATCGCACCACCTGCCACTCTTCTTGCCTTTGTTATCATTTGATTGGGCTTCCCTTGAGACAAAGGCATTGCTGTCAACTACTGATGGCTTAGATTGCTTGGAGGTAGAGAGCTGTTTTTGGCTCTCTTCTTGCTTTACAATGAAGAATACTTCTCGCAGACTTGGAGTATTTCAGTACTCATAATTCTTCCCCTAGTATCATCGTAGACTAATTGTAGGCTGAGTAAGAATCTGTACACTCTTTTTTTTCCCTTTATCTTGGTGAAAAGTTGAGAATCAGTCAGGCAAGTCCATTCATAGACCTCATAGACGTCAAGTTGTTGCCACAAGGTGAGAAGTTTAGAGAAGTATTCAGTGACAATGAGATTACCTTGTTTCAGGTTGTCAATCTTGGTTTCAATGTCTAGAACAGCAGTCCGGTTTTTCATAGAAGCAAACATGTCTCTCGCTGCCTCCCAAACTTCTTGTGCTGATTGGAACAACAAAAAACTGGCACTAATTTCAGTGGTCATGGAATTGACGAGCCATGATTGTACCATTGAATTCTGTCTTCCATTCACCATACTTCGGGTCTGTAAGTGAAGGTTTTTTCTTTGTTCCTATCAGGTAGTGGGCCATCCCTTTTCCAGTGACATACAGCCTCACTCCGGAGGCCCAAGCAAAAGATAGAGCATCATGTGGCGCTTGGGAACCTCCTGCTGGACTCATTGGCGTTGTGGTGGTTTTGTGTGCCAATGGCAACAGGTTTGCTTGGCCCGGTGGGGCCATTCCAAAACCGAACTGTATTGTTGTCGTGGCTCTGATACCGTATAGAATTAGATGCTCCGAATAGATATTTTATTTAACATATGGAGAAGGTACTTATAGCCATAAGACCTAGGTTTAGGAGATACACTAGGGTCGGCCAGATTACAATAGAATCTAGGTAAATCAAAGTAACAAATCAACAATTCAAAAATCAAATTAATAATCCGTGATTCTAGGGATCACTTAAAATGCTAATCTGATTAATTAAAACAGAATATGGGCTTAAGGCCCAAGGGTGTCGAACTCAACATATTTCTCTTCAAAGTAATGAATAAGCAAACGTTGTGCATTATAGAATTCTCTATGGAGTGCATGTGTGCAAACATTTTCTGGAAACTTCCTTGCATGCTTTTGTCCTTGAATGAATCAAATTTGTTTCTCAAGTCACAACTTGATATTTCTTTTTTGCACATGCCAATATAAAGGTGCAACAACGTGCTACACAGGATCAGATTGCATATTTTGGACAAACTCCGTCTCAACTTCTGACTGTTCCTCACTTGAAGAAGATGCCATTATCAGAAGTTCTTCATTTGCAGGTAACTTTTTAAGCTTGTTTGTTAAATAAATCTCATTGATAGTGATGCAGTCTCACTTTACTAAGCTTCTAATATGCTTGAGCGTAGCCTTGTATCAGACATTAAACTCATCTAGTTAATGCTGAATTAAAAATTCATGGTTAAAGCCTGATTAATTTGTTTTGTATAATTATAATGGTAGGAGCCAAAAATGATACTTGAACTCTAAAGTTTAATTTAATACTCTCTCTGGTCCCAAATATAGGCCATTTGAGAAATTAGGTTAGTCTAAAATATAGGGTATCTAATTGTCACGGGAAAAAAAATAGAGGGCATCTATCTAAATGTCTGGAGAATTACTTAATTTGTTCCACCAATGCTTTTCATTGACCACATAGTCAAGTGTTGTTTTCAAGAATAAGGGGGAAGGTGAGAATATATTCTAGTTCGTTAATTAGGGTCATTTATGGGGAAAAAAATTAATTTGAGACAAATTTAATGAATTTAACTGTTTCTTAATTTTGGTGGGATAGTTATTGGTGGCCTACATTTGAGACTGGAAGTAGTATATTTTATGAAGGAGGAAAGTAATGGGCTTCAATTATAGGAGGTAAGACGTAGACAATGTTGATGTTGACCAAGGGCTGAAGAATAGAATTCCATACATGAAATGCGATGTTTTCTACTCTAAAGAAGTTTGTTATTTGCAAAGGATATGTAAATGAACTTATCTAGAGGACACAAGCAAATATGGCCATGTGTGCATTCAACCATGCACCAATAAATAAATGTTATCCACGCATGGGAGCCTTGAGAAGAAAAAAAAAGGAGAAAAAAAGGGGGGGTTGTTTTAGGTCCATATATGAGATGAATCACTTGATACTTTGAACTCTTTATTAAAAATTTTTGGCATGCAATATTTCAAAATCTGAAATAAAAAGTTTCTATATGTGGAAGCGTCTTTCTTTACATGAAGCAATGCAATTATTACCAGCCGTTGTGCATTAAAATTTTAACCTGTTAGAGACCTAGGAATGCCTTTATTCTTTAAAATATCCCTTATGTGAAAGAGCTTTTGGTCCTGGAGTGAAATAAAGAACCAGCCACGATTTCTTGTTCTGAAATTTGGAGCTGCAAGTTGTGAGCTCTTACTCTTCTCATTTATCATTGAATTGAAGAGCTTTTGATGTCATCCCCTTTATCTCAACTTGGAAGCTTAGTTCATTAAGAGAAGATCTATGAGTGACTTGATTCATGTCTTTTTGAGTGATAAAGTTGTTCCTCACAATGTGATATTTATTCTATTCATTCTTATGTCTTTTGTTGATTGCTGCTAAGAGAAAATATGTGGTAGAATTCATTGCCACCCAGCTTGAATTCTTTATTATCAGATCTTGGTTTGATATCCTTCTTTCACTTGACACTTTCCCAACTGTTGATTGTGACTATGAGTGGTTATAATCATAAAGCATGCAATTCTATTCATTGCCAGACAATATTCCGCAATCCAAAAGAAGTCAAACCTTATGCTGTTCCAGCCTCTGACCGCTGCAATGTACCTGCATCTGCTGTTCATGCATCTTCAGACATGGTCGTGGTCGTTGATATGAATGCACCAGCAGCTCGTGTCGCACAACACAAGTGGCAACCCAATACACCTGACGGCCAGGGTACTCCGTTCCTCTTCCAACATGGAAAAGCAACAGGCTCTGCTGGTGGGACACTTATGCGCATGTTCAAAGGCCCTGCAGGCTCTGATGAAGACGGGCATTTCCCCCATGCACAAGCATTTGCTGCCTCTGGAATTAGAAGCACTGCCATTGTCTCTGTTACTTGTGACAGAGAAATTATTACTGGTAAATCTAGTGGAGCCCAAGAATATGCATATATGTTGGCTCTGGCGTCTATTTTCAGAGGAAAAAGTTATTGTTTTAGATGACAACTTACTACAAAATTTAAGACCTTTGGATTAGATTTGTACTCATCCCGTTGATTTATTGCTTAGTGAAATTGAGAATTAGTTATTTGGTTAAATATTCCATATATCTCAAGTTATCTTTACGGAGGGGTTGAACTTGATTGGTTATAGGGACTTTACCGTGTATAGTCTTGTAATATTTGATATTTCCTTGTTCATCCTCCTGTCTTATACTTTCAAAGTTTAAAAACATGGTTCCTCAGTTTATAACGATAGCTCCCCAGCTTAAAACCTTTATCCCCAGCAGATAACGTTGTCTGAATTACCACCTAATGGTCAAGAATAATCAGAGAAAATTGCCCATAAATTACATTTTTGTGGTTCTCCACCCTCATTGAATACCATAATATTTGAATATCAGCTGATAAAAGGGAGTAGGAAAACACTAGATCAAGCATTTCAGATACCAGTATGTTTTAATCCATAATAAAGTATGACAGTTGCGGCATGTAAAACCTCCTTATTTGGAGACAGCTATCTTCTTCCTTCCTTCTTTCTTTCTTTCTTCCTTCCCCCCCCCCCCTCCCCAAATACTTGATTAACACTATACTGATTTTGTGAAAACCTTTTAAAATTATTTAGGACACCTAATATAATTTCTTTGTTATTTGTCATTTATCCTGAATATTTTGGCTTCTTATTAGGTGGACATGCTGATAATAGCATCAGGCTGATATCCTCAGATGGAGCTAAAACCTTAGAAACAGCCTATGCGCACAGTGCTCCTGTAACATGCCTTGGTCTTTCACCGGATAGTAACTACCTGGTGACAGGATCTCGGGATACCACTGTGTTGCTCTGGAGAATACACCGGGCACTCGTGTCAAGCTCAAGTAGTATATCTGAACCTTCGTCTGGCCCAGGCACTCAGCCTTCGACAAGCAGTAATTCCTCATCAAACTTGACAGAAAAGAATCGGAGGTATCGTATTGAAGGTCCCATACATGTACTACGGGGGCACCATAGTGAAGTCACCGGTTGCTGTGTCAGTTCAGATCTAGGAATTGTTGTGTCGTGTTCCCTTTCTTCAGATGTTCTATTGCACACTGTCAGAAGAGGACGTTTAATTAGAAAACTAGTTGGCATTAAGGCTCATACCGTCCGCCTTTCCTCTGATGGTGTTGTTGTGACTTGGAATGAATCAGAGCATACTCTCAGTACCTTCACTCTAAATGGTGTTCTAATTGCTAAAAGACAATTATCTTTCTCTAGCAGGATTAGTTGCATTGAAATTCCTGTTGATGGGAAGAGTGCTTTAATTGGAATTAATCCTCTAGAAAATGGTGGTGTCTATAATAATAGTTGGAACTTGGGCGATGATGATGCTGATTCAGAATCAGAAAAAACTCAAGAAGGCAACAGAATAAGTGTTACATCACCATCTATTTGCTTCCTGGATTTGCACACTCTGGAGGTAAATTATTAAGATGTTTTAATTCAGACGTCTAAAGCAATTATCTTGATTTCTTTCTTCTTCTTTTTTGTTTTTTTTTTTGTTTTTGTTTTTGGGTTTGGTGATCACAATTATCTTGAATCCTAATTCACACATACGGTTTTTTTTATTTCACATCAATTTCAAACTTGCATTTGTCCTGTATTTCACACTCGAAATATTGTCTGCTTATTCCTCACAAAAGAAGTATTCTTTCTGGTAGAACCAACTGTCACTTGCTTTCTGCGGTTTCTTCCTTCCTTATATTTGTCTGGGTCATCCCTAAATTGCATTTTTCTTTATATATTTCTTAGACACATACAGATTTGAATTTCAGTATGCAATGATTAACGTAAAATGAAATGAGATTCATGGTTCAGCCTTTCTCTTAGTCTCAATCCTGCAGTAGCTGTTGCCCACCTCCACCAGGCCGTTTTATTCAGTTCTGACCGATATACTGCACCGCTATTTGTAGGTATTTCATACATTAACGCTGGGAGGAGGACAGGATATCACAGCTCTAGCTTTAAACAAGGATAACACAAATCTTTTGGTCTCAACTTTGGATAAACAGTTGATAATCTTCACTGATCCATCTGTAAGTGAACCATCCTTGTGAGTAGGTTATTGTTTGTGTAGTTTGGAATGTAAGGTGGGTACCTTTCACCATGTATTCGTTTGAAGTAATAGACTTGCTTTTCCTTCAAAATGCTTAAAAGAATTTTCCTAAACAGCATAGGATGGATACTTCTCAACGATGGGACCCACCTTTAAAGTTCATATAACTACCCCAAAGGGCACAGAATCAAACTGCATGAAAATGCTTCGAGTTTGAACTTTTCTGTTAATCCTGAGAGTTTCAGTTAATTCTCAATTTATTCTTTTTAGCCAAAGTTTGTTATTGGGTATTGACATACTCATGGAAGTTGGATGAAACGGACTGAATCGAGAATTTTAAAACTAAAAGCGTTATACTAAATTGTAAGGACTAGCTTTAAATGAAGAGTTATAACCTCTATGCCATGGCTTGTAACTCCGCTAGTTCTTACTCGCAGTTAAGCTTGAAAGTGGTAGATCAAATGCTGAAGCTCGGTTGGGAAGGTGATGGGCTTACACCCCTTATAAAGTCATAGATTTTAGGGCATACAGAACTAAATTACAGATATTCTATAGACAACAATTGTTAGGAATCTTAGTTTTAAGGTTTTTGAGCTCGTGTTTGTGAGCATTTTTGGTTGCATCCCATTGGTTCAGTGATGTCTTGTAATATATGTATCAGACAAGTGTTAGCCCTGGTTATATATAGGTCAAATTTGTTGTAACTGTGGTTCTCTCTTTGCTCTCCCACTTGTACGCAGTATTAGGGCATTACAAGCTTCTGGACGAGGGCTGACCCATTGATTTGTTCTCATTTTTTTAATTATATTGAATGAAAATATAATGGCCTCTTGTTCGGGTAATTCTGTTTCCTCTAAATGTTGAGATTGGTTCTCTTTCGACTGAAATTTCTTGTTTTTCCCCCACCTGTATGTTAATAGTAATGGGATCAATGAATTTCCACATTTTATTATTTCTTCTGTTAGGTATAGTTCGGTTGAGGAAAAAACTTAGATCAAAGTTGTTTATATTCATTAGGAAAAGTTGTTCAATCATATATGGTCATACGTCTTTTTTTTTTTTTGGTTTTATATGAATTTATAATTAAATACTACTTTTCTAGTCCTAAATATAAGACCCTTTTTGTAGTATAAATTATATTATAAAAGGGATCTTATATTTAGGACCGGAAGAATATTAAATGTTAATATTTCAAAAATATGATACATGGTCATATAGGATTATAGAATAAGAAACTTGATTGTCTTTAGATTAATTAGTGGTTATAAATATCATCAACTTCTATTATTCGACAAAGTCGTCAATGATGAGCTACATGACTTGAAGTTGCTTAGGCTTGGAATTATCGATGAAAATGTAATTTCAAAAATACAAATCAACCCCTTAAAAGAAATATTCCTCCAGTCTTAAATATAATACATATTTTGTAGTATAAATTATACTACAAAATGAGTTTTATATTTAAGATTGGAGTAGTACTCAACATTTTTTCCTCTGATTCAACTACTATTACTTGGACTAAATATAATTATGCCATAAAGTGGGAAATGAAGAAGGAATTATAACGAAATTGTTTGATATTTTTATTGTATTTTTTCTTTCATGATTGTTATATATATACTCCTTCGGCCTTAAATATAAAATTTATTTTATAGTATAATTTATACTACAAAATGAATTATATATTTAGAATCAAAACGGTATTAACTATTGGTAATATAATTTTATAGTGGCGAAAAAAAAAAGACAATAATTTTATAGGTTAAAATATATATTTGGTCTTTTAATTTTATACGTAATTTTGATTTAGTCCCTTAACTTTAAAAAAATATACTTTTAATCTTTTAATGTTAAAATTATTAACAAAAAATAATAATATGTAGATGTTAAATGTTGATAAAATATTTTCAAATGCTAATATATTAAGTTTAATTTTCACAAAAAACTATGATTGTTAAAAAAATTATTATTTAAACATAATGATTTTAGAGTTAACTAAAAATATACTTTTCAAAGCTACTAAATTAAAACTTTATAGTTAATTAAAGGAAACAATATGTACTTTAGTCAATTTTATATATATAAGTGTATATGTTAAACTTATCATTTCGAAAAGTAAATAATATTTTGAAATAGATGAATAATTATTTTAAAATTGAAATGAAAAGAATTTTAATGCTTAAGTCTTTTTTTTTTTTTTTTGCCCGGTCAACTTAGCGTGTGTTTAGCAAAGCGTCTGGAAGGGAACAGGTGCATTGGAAAAATGGAAACATTTGTTGCTAGCTAGTATGGGTTCGAACAATTGTTTACGTTAACTTTTTCTCAAATTGACGTTTGGGGAAAAAGTTCATTCAAGACAAAAAAAAAAAAAAAAAAAACCAATCAGAGTAGCTTTTTTGGGGGTGAGAACACAGAGAGAGAAAAAATAACAATGGACCCAATTAATTTTTTTAAAAGAAATTTAATTTTTTTTTCCAAAAAATTTATCAAATTGTATATGTATGATATATTATCTCTGCTCCTTAATATAAAACTTGAATAGGCAAATGTGAACAGATTAAAAAAGCTAAATAAATTACTTAATTATTTTATATGTTATATGATCTCTCTAAAATACTTATGTATATCTTTAATCTTTTCAAATTAGTTATGTATATCTTTAATCTTTTCAAATTAGTTAACTAAGTCTTGTATAAAAACTCATGCCTTTTTTTGTTATTTTACATCTAAACTCACTTTTTTATGATCTATCCAAATAAGTTTTAACATTTTAAACTGATTTTTTTATAAACATCAATCCAAATATAAATCATACTCCTCCGGTCCTTAATATAAGACCCATTTAACTAATTTGATTAAATTAAGGAAGTTAGGTAAGTTAGTTAATTATAAGAAATATGACACGTTTTTCCTAAAACACCATAATCATCTTTCTTAATACCCTCTTTCCCCTTTCTACTTGATTATGGTTGAGAGAGTATTCATAGGAGTAATTTAGAGAACATTAATAAAAATGAGAAATGGGTCTTATATTTAGAACTAAAACCAACCAAAACAACCAGAGGAGTATTATACTAACTGATTTTATCCAAACCTACGTTTATAAAAGTCAGTTACAATAAAAATCAGTCTTGTAACTTCTAATCCAAACACATCCTTACACCCTTGAGTAATTATATTACTTTTTTTTTTTTGGCCGAAAGTAATTATATTACTTGATACAATTGTTTTTCACCATTATTCCTAAATAAAGACGTACATTTACTCTTTATTTTTGTAACTTATTGTCTTTGCTAACAGTACCAGTAGTTATATATCCACCATAATACCATTCACGAGATCAACACTACATCAACATGTACTAACCTGCCAAGAAATACACGTGCGAACTCATCTAGCAGCATCATTCATATGTGTATAAAATACATACGTACATACATACATATACAACCAACCTCGCTTAGTGGGATAATTAAGATCTTATAGGTTGGTGGTGGTGGTGGTTGTTGAATTTGTTGTGTGTTGTGAAGCTGTCCGCTAATGGAAGTGGCTATCTGTGGAAGGCTCGGACCCGGAGACCTCCATCGATGTGAAGATTTAACATTGGCTGGTAAGTGACAACTTCCTGATCATCATTCAATTCAAAGCGGAAACAGCCCAAAAGCACTGCAGAGAATATCTTCATCTGTCTGTAAGCAAACTCTTTTCCTAGACAAATCCGGGGACCCGCCTGCACATATCAGAAGAAATTCATGTTAAACTACAAAACAAGTCATGCAAGTTTGATCACATAACGCTTTGTTTCTGGCGTAAAATAAATAAAATGTTAACTTTAGAACTTATACTTCAAATTTATTGATTTTGTCTTCAAAACACTAGAGTCTTAATTTAATCTAAAATTGCATTGCTTGTACACCAATAGTTATGTAGATCGAAAGTATATGGAATATATTCTTGCTGAAATTAAATATTACTAACTATTATTGTCCTTTTATTAGATTTTTTTTTTTTGGAAAAAAGAGTCCGGATATACTTTTATTTTCAAAATTTTCTCATTGAATGATTTCAAAATTTACTGAACTTAGAAAAAGTGGTTATTATTGAATAGATGATAGTGTAATTTACTTCGATTTGCTTTCAAAGCAAAAGGCAATATCAAAGGAAAATCTTGATATTGCAATGTCAAATTCTTTAGAGGGTTGTTTGGATTAGCTTCTCTCCAAAATATTTTCATATAAGCCAAGACAAAACTCTTCTCACATTCTTAGTTCGTGTACCATAAAATCACTTCCAAAAAGCCAATCCTAAGATGCAAATCTAACCTGAAAAGCTGTAAATTTGAAAGAGCTTTCTGGCTTGAAAATGTTATTCTCATCAAGCCATCTCTCTGGCCTATATTCCCCTGCATCATCTCCCCATATAAATTTCATGCGACCCATTGCATAAGGTTGGTATGCTACTGTATCACCTTTATTCACACTGTATCCATCTGGCAATGTATCATCTGAAAAACACATCTTTGCGTCCTGCATCACAAAAAGTTTGAGATTCAAGAGAATAACTTGAGTTGAGGGGAATAAACGAGAAAATAAGACCGAGATTATTATTTATATAAATAAAAAAAATATACAAAATTATAATTTCACTTTGTTACCCCTAGGGCGTTCGGCTTCACTACAGATGATTTATCATAAATCATCTGCCGATCAGCTTTTTTATTTGTGTGTGGATGGAGATGGGAAAAAAATAGAAGAGGTAATATTTATCGACATTACATGTTTTCACTACACTGATCTGCAAAGTCTGATCAGTAGAGATGTTGGCATCCCCGAATTCTTCTCAATCCAAACATAGAAGTTAGAAACATGTCAAATGCCCGGCAGACGGCAGTAAGAGGCAATAAACAGGGTTGTGGAATCAGGGGTCAATATTGTGCACCAAAAGCAAGTCAATGGAGACATAATGAGTAGAATGGGATGCTCAGGGGTACCTAAGTGGAATGATTCTCTAACTTTTGGAGTGGGTTTCTCATCCCACTTAGATATTTCAGAAACTTTTCAAAGTTTTGTTACATAAATAAGATGCATTTTCCAAAAAAGCCTTACCACCGGAACTGCGGGATATAGTCTGAGAGTTTCAGTAATCGCTGCATGAAGATAATTCATCTTTTCAAGAGCTTCATCTGTCAAGCGTGACACGAATTCTCTGGAGCTAGAAATATCCTTTTTATTTATTGCTTCTTTCACTTCTTGCGCAACTTTTTCTTGTACAGCAGGATGCTTGCATAGCATGTAAATGAACCAAGCAAGTGTAGCAGCCGTCGTGTCTTTGCCAGCAATCACGAAGTTGAGAATTATATCTCTTAAGTATGTTGCATCAAATTCATCTGTTTGCAGAAACCTCGAGAGAATGTCTCCTCTTTTATTCTGCATAATTCATGCAAAATAGAAAATCATGCAGAATACAAAATTCCTTCTTAATCAAATACATTATAATTTAAAAAAAAAAAAAAGATTATAACAAAATTATTCATGAACAATCACCGATTAGCTTTAAGCTGAAGTCATCCATGACATGGTTCCATACCTTTACCCAAGTAGTCATAAGATGATCCCCAGCAACCTATTATCTTAATTGACAAATCTCAGCTCAATATATGGTAAGATTGTGCTTTGTCTATACTTCCGGTGTGATGGGCTTTAATGTGAGGGATGTGCTAGAGATTATGACAAAACTATTAACCAGCTCTTAATGGCTTAAGCCTTTATGTTGAAGTGGTCCTAGACAAACCAAAAAAAAAAAAAAAAACACCTTGCAATTAGTAGACTTACAGCAGAATCCTTTGACGTCTGCAACTGCTGAATTCTAGTATTGATTAGCTTGAATACAAAGTCATTTAAAATTTTAGTATTCTTTCTTAGGCGGGCCTCCGAACCAATATTTAGAAATTTCTTTAATCTCCAGAACACATCAACATAACGGAAGAGGGTTGTTGCGCTTGAAGTATCAAAAGCATCAGCAAACCTCCTTCCTTCTTCATTTGATCCACACATGCTGCCTAGTTCAGTTCCAAATGCAACTTGGAATATTGAATCCAGAGTTGATTTCATAAGCAGGTCCTGTAAAAATTATCAGAAAATTTTAACATGTAAGCCCCAATAAAGGAAGACATCCTGATAACATATTTCAGAGAACAGATGTACCCACTTGAATTTCCAATATCTGATTAGAGGTTGCAGCCTCAGACACTTTATTTGCTAGTTTTTGCTGCATTTTCCTGAAAATTTCAATACTAAACTCTTTTAGCATTTTTGTTGAGAATTCATGGCTTGATATTTTCCTCTGTTGGCGCCATTTTTCACCATCAACAGTGAAAATCCCATCACCTAGTAGATCCCTCAATTTGTTGTAGTTGTACGGTCCCTGCACAATATCTTCAAGGAATAACATTGATGCCGTCTAGCCAAACTTATCCATTTGAACCGAAAATAAACTTTCACTCTTAAGTTTTCTTTTAAAAAAAAAAATAAAACAAAAATCGTTATCCCATAACACCTATAGCCTTGCTCTGTCTTCCCTGCAATAAGTTCTAGAAATCTCTGTTTCAGCTCATTTCAACCATTCTCCAAATAATTACTTGCAACTGCAAAAACAATTTCTATGTGACGACCATAGGCCCATGATCTATATCCTAGAAGATGGGGGAAGGAATAAACCAAATAGTTCATGCACAAGTAGGGATTTTGAGGCGACACAAATAAATTTGAAAGACATCAGTATTGAGCACACTGGGAAAAAAAAGCTGCTGGGATGTTCAGCTATTTCCAACTGGTTTATCCCTTTACTGTACATAGTTACATGCTGCGATACTCTAGAGGGACATTATTTGTGCAAGTTTTCTCAACAGAAACACATAATTTGATATCAGCAACTTGTTTCACAATTCTAATAGCAATTGCATATCTTGTCTGAACAATTCATGAGGAAAAAGAACTGCCAAAATTATGCTACAAGTTCACTTGTGTGTACTCAGATAGCTCATTTATGATCATTAAGAATTTTACCAAGGCGAATAGCCTAATCAATCAGATTGTTGGCCAGACCAAACAACAAATTTAAGTTAAAAAATAAAATAAAATCAGTTTTACACTCATTTGGAAAATTTTAGCCCAAGGACAGCGAGTTGGAAGAGTCTAGAGGAAGTTCCTCTCTCATAAACTATGAATAGTGTCCCCCACGTATACTCTACACAATGTGTAGTTTAAGAAAATCCCAGAAGCGTGCAAGCATTTCTATGTGACTCAACCATTTGCAAATATCTTAATCAAAATGCTGATTCCATCGAAACAAACTAATAATTCAAACTGCTCCATATTTAGCATCAGAGACAAAAATCTGCATCTCTTTACAAATTCCAGAAGTAAAACCCGAAGCGAATTTCTATTTACAATTACCTTTCCGAAATTCGCGAAATTGGTTTTAAGAATGTACTCGACATTGACCGGGTCAGAAGTATAAATCTCGTTCCGTAAAGGCGTGAGCAACCTGTAGGTTCTGTATTCGCCGGCGAGATCAGTCATGTAATGGTGGAGCCTATTGAAGTTGAGAAACTGGTTGAAGATGGTGCCGCCAACAGGATGATACTTCTTCTTCCTCTGGCTTTTGTTCAATCTTCTGGAGACACATTGAAGCGCCAAAAGAGTTGAAACTACTGAGAAAACTGTGAAGAAATAAGGGTTCAACAGAAAGTCCATGGATATCATGGTGAAATGTGGCACAAGAAGAAGAATAACTAGAGGTGCTCTTTGTCCTTTCTCAGGGTTTGTTTGGTTGGAGGGGAGGGACCCCTCATTTCGTTAAAAATTTTAGAGGGGAGGGGAGCTAAAGCCCTCCTTTTCCCCATTTTGACTCCCCTCTAAATTGGAGGTTTTTGGAGGGAAGTCAAATTTTTAGACCATTATGCCCTTATAGTTTTTTTAATATTTCACTTCTACTCATAAAATATATTATTATAATATTTATTTCAAATAAAAAATATATTATCCTAAGTAAAAAAATAAAAAATATATACATTATTGTAATTAAAAATATATTATAAAAATTATTTAAAAATAAAAAATTTATTTAAATAAAAAATTATAATATTATAAAATTAATTTTTTTATAAATATATTATTTATTAAATATATTTTAATGCTGGAAAAAAAGATAGCCTAAAGAGAATAAAATTTCATTTTTCTTAGAGCATATAAAATTTGTTAATTTGATTATTTTAAATATATTATTATATTAATTAGAATAAAAAATTACTGTACCAATTTTTTAATACACATATAACATGATAAGACTGAATTTTTATTAAATTATATGATTTAAATTAAGATGTAAATTAATTTATATAATATATCAATAAAAAACATAAACTAATATGTAAGGGTAAAATGGTAAATTGATTATTATCATCCCCTCCCCTCCTTCCCCTCTCCCCTCCTTTTTAATCAAACCAAACAAGGTGAGAATGAAACCTCCCCTCCCCTCCCCTCCCCTCAAACTAAACAGGCCCTTACTGTCAACAGTTAGACTTAGATATACATAACGTGTGCGTTTGTTGATTTTATTTTAATGCTAAATATATTTAGAAAAAAATTATAAATAAAAACTCTCTAATATATAAAATAGCTATTAAGACCCTGAATTTGGAAAATAGCTTCAGAAGACCCAAGTTTCAAATTGTAAATATGAAATGATAGTAGAATGTCCAAAATCCCTTTGTTTTTTTCTCTTTCTTCCTTTCCAAATCTTCTTCCCGGCCTTTCCTCCTCCTTTTCCTCTCTCTCTTCGTTCTCTCTTTCCTCTCCAGATGTCCTTCCCTCTCCTCACTCCTTCCCAAAGTATATGGAACTCACAATGTCCTTTGGTAGTCCTCTCTTCATTGTCATCCCTCGTCACTTTCTTCCTATCTTGCTTAGTTGTTCTTTTGTCAACAATGAACCTCTTCCATCATTCCCTCTGTTGCTGTGGAAGGAGAGGAGAGTCGGGGAGTTTGAGGGAGAGTGACAGTCATTTGTAATGCTTGTAATGTTTGCTTGTAATATATGCGATGATTGCTTGGTGTTGAAACAGTGCCCAACAAATTTGGATTTTTATTCTTTATTTTTATTTTGATTTTCAACTTGTGTTCATAATTGAAAATAGCAAGTTTGGTAAGTTGTTGAAAATAACAAGCTGACAAGTTCTGATACCCACTTCATAACAAATTCAGTAATGTGAATAACAAGTTTAGCAAGGCAAAGAACAATTTCTGATAAGCAATTCATAGAAATTTGAATTTTGTGTTAAAATGACAGCATTTTTACATTTCTTTAGCAGATGACAAGTTCTGATAAGCAATTCATGACAAGTTCAATCAGGCGAATGACAAGTTCAGTAAGGCGAATGACAACTTTTGATAAGCAATTCATAGAAATTTGAGTTTCTGTGTTAAATGACAGGTTCCTGTTAGGTTTTCATACTTTTTCTGTTAAAATGACTGAATTTCCACATAGACAGGTTCACAATAGAAAATGATAAGTTCCCATAAGATTTTCATACTTTTTTTGCTGGAATTACAGTTTGCACATTTCTGACAGCAACCACTTCTGACAAATACAAAATGACAAGTTAAGTATGGCAAATGACAAGTTCCCATAACGTTTTCATACTTTTTCTATTGGAATTACAATTTGCACATTTCTGACAGCACCAACTTTTGAGAAACACGAAATGACAAGTTCATAATGGAAAATGACAAGTTAAGTATGGCAAATGACAAGTTCTCATAACGTTTTCATACATTTTCTGCTAGTATTATAATTTGCACATTGCTGATAGCAACCACTTCTGATAAACAGTAAATGACAAGTCCACAATAGCGAATGACAAGTTCTCATAACGTTTTCTTACAATTGTAAATTTCTTTACTGAAATAACAATGTGCAGATTTTTTACAGCAAACACTTCTGATAAACAGTAAATTACAAGTCCATAATAGCGAATGACAAGTTAAGTATGTAAAATGACAAGTTCCCATCACGTTTTCATACAATTATAAATTTCTTTGCTAAAATAACAATGTAAAGATTTCTGACAGTAACCACTTCTGATTAACATCTTTCATCATCAACGTTACCTCTCATTTCCTCCTAATGTATAAAACTACAGCACTAGAACTCTCATAAGCCCCTCAAAAAGCAAGCTCATATCAACACCAGCGGCAAATGCACTACGATGATCATATCTACTCACAAGTGCATCCTTACTATGAAATCCCAAATGTAAATTGTCATATCATATGAACAAGAAACCATCAAATTCCACATATAAGGCGAGAACTTTATTCATTTAGCACTGTATTTAGAGCTCGTTTGTCCCTCGCATCCCACACCTTGATCGATTTATCCACTGAAATACAATCATCATACTTGATTTCTACAATTTAGAGCTCGTTTGCAATTATCAGAAATGGGTGCTGTCAGAAATGTGCAAATTGTAATTCTAGCAAAAAAAGTATGAAAACGTATGAAAACGCTATGGGAACTTGTCATTTGACATATTTAACTTGTCATTTTTCATTGTGAACTTGTCATTTTGTGTTTATTAGAAGTGGTTGCTGTCATAAATGTGCAAACTGTAATTCCAACAAAAAAAGTATGAAAATGTATGAAAATCTTATGGGAACTTGTAATTTTCTATTGTGAACCTGTCATTTCATAAATCAATGTAGAAATTCAGCCATTTTAACAGAAAAAGTATGAAAACCTAATGGGAATTTGTCATTTTAACACAGAAACTCAAATTTCTATGAATTACTTATCAGAAGTTATCATTCACCTTACTAAACTTGTCATTCATCTTACTGAACTTATCATGAATTGCTTATCAGAACTTGTCATCTGCTAAAAAAAATCTAAAAATGCTGTCATTTTAACACAGAAACTCAAATTTCTATGAATTGCTTATCAAAAGTTGTTATTTGCCTTGCTAAACTTGTTATTCCCGTTACTGAACTCGTCATGAAGTGGATATCAGAACTTGTCAACTTGTTATTTTCAACAACTTACCAAACTTGTTATTTTCAATTATGAACACAAGCTGAAAATCAAAATAGAAATGAAGAATAAAAATCCAGATTTGTTGAGCGTTGTCTCAGCACCAAGCAATCATAGCACACATTGCAAAGCAAACATTACAAGCATTACAAATGACTGTCACTCTCCTTCAAACTCCCCGACTCTCCTCTCCTTCCACAGCAACAGAGAGAATGATGGAAGAGGCTTCAATGTCGACAAAAGAACAGCTAAGCAATATAAGAAGAAAGTGACGGGGGATGACAATGAAGAGAGGATTACCGAAGGACATTATGAGTTCCATATACTTTGGAAAGGAGTGAGGAGAGGGAAGGAAATCTGGAGAGAAAAGACAGAACAAAGAGAGATAGGAAGAGAAGGAGGGACGGCCAGGAAGAAGATCTGGAGAGGAAGAAAGAGAAAAAAACAGAAGGGCATTTTGGACATTCTACCATCATTTCATATTTACAATTTAGGACGGGTCCTTTGAAGCTATTTTCCAAATTCAAAGTCCCTAATAGCTATTTTATATATTGGAGGGTCTTTATTTGCATTTTTCCCATATATTTATTTTATTTTTTTATATTTAATGTATTTTTGTATAGGATAGTTCTTATAATAATAGTAGTTATAACTAATACACTTGGTTAATGAGGATATTTTAGAAAAATAACACTTGTTTATTATAGATATCTAAGTTAACTAATTTTCTTAATCTACTCAAATTAGTTAATTATCTCTTATATTAAGGATTGCTAGTAGTAGCATGTGAATGTTGACTAAAGTCTGTCATTGGTGGGGTATACTTCCGATATTTAATATAAGGGCTAGTTGGACATTCAATTTGGTTCTAAATATAAGACTCTCAATCCGCTTTATTTTTTACATTTATTCATTTTTCACTACAAAAAAACAGGTCATTACTGACGGAATTAGCAGCCGAAAATTATTCCATCAATAATTTTTTACGAATTACTGACAGAAGCAGCGGTGGAATTTTTATCCGTCGCTAATCCGTCAGAAAATTTGTCAAAAAATATTTAACAACGGAATTAGCGACAGAATTTTTTTGGTCAAAAATTTCGTTGCTCAATTGTTTGTCACAGAAGTTTCTGTCACTAATTCCATCGCTAATCCGCCACTAATTTTAAATGTCATTATTTTAGATTATAATCTTGCAACAATTTGTATAATAATAATTAAGAATATAATAAATTAATATATTTGTCGAGTTGATATTAATAAAGATATCGTCATCATTCATGTCATCATTAGGTATATACTGAAAATAGGAAAAAAATTTCTTAGAAAACTTGTTTATATTTTGTTAAAATAAATTCATCTTGATTATTAATAATAAGTAAAAAATATAATAAGAATATTAATAACTTTCTTATATAAACTGATATAAGAAAAAAAATAATTTTATCATATGTACAATATATTGAAAGATATAATATATGATAGAAATTCAAAACCGAAAAATAAATTTATATAAATACAAACTAATATTGAAGTGAATTTTGAAGTTCAATCATTAAACAATAAAATTTAATCATAATATAATTAATACCTATGATATAGATTGATTTTGGTCTTCAATACAAAAACAAATGGTATATACAAAAAATTTTAAAAAAATAAATTACATAAAATACATATACAAGTAGGAGAATATTGTTTATCATAATCTATTCAAATCATTTAATTTTTTATATAGAATAATTTATTAGATTTTATTATAATATAATAGTTTTTTTTTAATAACAAGATTTTTTGACTAATTGTAAATGGTTTTCATTAAAGATATAAAACACATATAGGTAATACAATATAATGTAATGTAATACGTAGAGAATTAAATTGTATATCTTATCAATATTAATTAAAATATATTTATAAAAAAATTATTTATGATTTAAAATTCAAAAATAGTGTCATTAGAAATTAAAATTATATTAAAAATATTTTTTTTAAAAAATAAAACATTATAAAATAAAGAGTAAAACAAATATTTAAAAATTATTTTGTCATTAAAATAGTTATGATTAAAATTGCCATATAGTTTATTTTTAGTTTTTAATAATATATATTTTTGTATAATTGTTTGTGTAAAAGAATATTATATATATAATTTTACATAATAAGTCAACAGGTTCATTACAGTTTAACTGGTAAAGCCACACAAGTGCATAGATGAGGTCCTAGGTTCGAGCCATAAATAAGTCACTTGAGGAGGGAATTATCTGGTGGCAACACATGGTAGGCAGAGGTGAGGTGTCAACGACACGTGGTAATCATTGTCGAGGTGGGAGAGACATGTGGAGGTGGTTGTTGGTGATCACATGATGACTAGTAGAGGTGCCACGTTGCATTTTAATTTTTTTTCCTCCAAAACTCGGGTTAGTGACTGATTAGTGACGAATTTTTCTATTGCTAATTTGCAACAAAAATTTTTGTCAATAATTAGCGACGAAAAATTTTCATTGGTAATTAGCGACATAAAAATTCCATCGCTAATCCGTGACTAATTAGCGACAGGATTGAAATTCCATCACTAATCCACTTAGCGACAAATGAATTAGCAACAGAACAAATTCCGTTGCTAATTCCGTCACTAAATAAAAAATTCCATTATTAAATTCCGTCGCTAATAATATATTTTTTGTAGTGATTTGTTAATGTAATATTTGTAATAGTTACATATATTAAAGATTTTATCAAATAATACATCATTATAAGTAAGGATATTTTCAAAAAATAAGAACTATTTATTACAAACAACTAACTTAACAAACCTTATTAATCTACTCAAATTAATCAACTAGCTCTTATATTACAAAGAGAATGTAGTATTTACCACCTATTGTCTTTAATATAAGAGCTTGTTTGACTTTTATTTAGTCTTAAATATAAGATTCTAATCCACTTTGTTTCTCATATTTATCAATTTTTTCTAAAATAGTCTTTATAGTAATTGTACATATTAAATGTTTCATCAAATGATACTTGATTAATAAGGGTATTTTAGAAGAAATAATGCATATTTATTACAAACAACTAACTTAACTAATTTTCTAAATCTACTCAAATTAGTCAACTCGCTTTTTATATTAAAGATCGGATGTAGTAGTATGTGAATGTTGACTAAACTCTATCATTGTTGAGATATACTTTTGGTATTTAATATAAACGCTAGTGAAGTAATATGCAGTTTAAGTGTTTTTTTACTCTATGTGAAATATGTTGAAAATGATTTATAAATAGAACTAGATGAGTAATTTATAATAAAGATCACTTTTCTCCTTCCAAATTAAATTTTCTCTCCTTCTTTTGAATTATTTGAAATTTCAAGAAACCCCTCTTTTACCTCTTATTTGGATGGAGAGAAAAAGAGGGAGGAAAGAAAACTAAAAAAAAAAAAGAGGAGATAAATGAATTTTTCCTTATTTAGATAAGAAGAAAAAAAGGGAGGAAAGAAAAATAGAAAAAAAAAAAAAAGGGTGCTGGGTCCATATCATTTTCTCTCCAAATTTTTCCTCTACACATGGAGAGAAAATGAGAAAAAAAAACTTACATTTCTCATATACCCTCTTTCATATCAGGTGAATAAACGATATTTTACCTTTAAAGTAATTTTTTTAATTTTATTTATAGCTATTTTATAATTTGGCAAAATCATCTGACTGCAGCCAAATTCCAAATCAACATATAAACTCTATTTTTCACATTCAATGTAATATTCAGAATTTGTACTAACTATATACACGCATACATATATATTTCTCCATGTCGGTCAACTTTTATTATAATAAATAATAATAATTTTAAATAATATATATTTTATTTATTTTCTTTTATTATATTTAATTTTAAAAAATTATCAAAATTTTATTTTTCTATTAAAAATAACATTTTTTACTAAACTATTTTATTTTTAAATATAATAATATGACCATATTTTTTTATTAATTAATTTTATTTTAAATTATTTGATAATATTAATGTTTATATAATTTTTTCCTCTGATATTTAATTTGGTTTCAACATAATATATTTGAAATAAGGGTATTTTTAGTTATTATATATTTTTCTCATTTTCTTTCATCTCTATTTTTTCTCATACATCTAAACAAAATGGGTAATAATATTTTTTTTTCAGTTTTCTTTTTTATCCATTTTCTCGCTTCTTTTTTTTTCTCCTCCCAACTTTTCTTTCTTTCTAAACAGAGTATTACTTCCTAATTAATGTCTTTGTTGCCTTTATTTTCCCTCGTCACCTGTTTCTTGTCGTCCAGAACAAGAAAAGCACTTTGCCCAAAAAAAAAAAAAAAAGAACGAGAAAAGCACTTAAATGCACCAGGCAATTATGTAGGTGGCTCTTAATTATATTATTGAAGGAAGCATCACGATGCCGGTTTAATAAGGCACTCCCTCCCATCTATATTATAAACTTTAAATAATTAATTTACAGATAATAAATAATTAGTTAAAAATAATAACGATGTTAGAAATATATTTTTATTCTCAAATATGCCCTTATAATAAATAAAAAAAGATAAAAGAAAATACAAAAAATGTGATAAGAAAGAAATAATTAAGGGTAACATTGAAAAAAATACATTAAATATTAAAACAAATCTAAATTTTTTTGGCAAAAAAAAATCTAAACTGAAACTTATAAAATAAATCATACTCCTTTCCAAATTTAAAACTTGTAAATAAGAGTGAGTAATATAATGCAACATTTTATCAGATTTTGCGGCCATTAACAGCGGAATTAATACTTATTAGCAAAAAAGAAGCGTGTAGCAGCTTCAATTCCCTTGAATTAAATATTCTTGCTTTACTTCAGCAGCAAGCAAGAAGCACATTTGTCAACACAGTTTCACAAAACTCAGGCTCTAATAAAAAAGAAGAAATAAATACATAAATGCAATACCATGTCGTGTGCATGCGCACTTAAATAGCGCCCCTATTCTAAATATAAATTACTTGTAGGGAAACGCTATGATCTTAAATGTAAGTTTGTTGTAGTATGTTTAATACTTATTTTTTAATTTTATTTTTATTTATTTCTTATTGGAATGAGAGACAAAAAGGCGATATATGATAATGATTTGTAAAATTAGGGGGAGACAATTTTAATAAGAGTAAAATTAAAATTTTTTGACAAATTAATATGCTCCTTAATATGCGAGAATGTATATATTAACGACCAAAGTGGTATAAGAAAAGAGCTTCTAAACTTTTTCGGTCTAAAGTACAAGCAAATCCTCTCATTTTGAGGTGCATTCAATGTAAATTTCCTATTCCGTGCTTAAATTAGATGATGATATGCATGCATTATGGTGCATTTTGATTAAATGTCGATAATAAGGGTATTTTAGGTTAAAAAAATAATCTCTCAAAGTACTATATAAATAACTTCTTTAATCCCTTGTGAAATGTTTATACTTTCTTCCTTTATTATTATTATAAATGAACGATAGGTTAAGTTATTATTAACTTTAATTTTTCTCTTAACTGAGAAAAAAAATGAAATTTACCCACATGAATTACATCTAAGAAGCCATAGACGAGTTAAAATTAATGAGAATTTTAAATGGTGACAATCTTGAAAAATTTAATCAATACCTCACTTGCTGACTTATGATAATTAAAGACTATCTGATTAACCATTTATTATTTTAGAATATACCACTCTAATCATAAATATAAGTTACTTGCAGGGAGAAGTTTTACTTCTAAATGTAAGTAATTTGAAGCATATTTAATGTTTGTTTTTCAATTTTATCCTTATTTAATTCTCACTAAAAAAAAAGATAAAGAAGAAATAGATATAAGAATAATTTGTAAATGTAAAGATAAAGAGAACTTTGATAAGGATAAAACTGAAAAGTTTTGTCAACTTAATGCATTCCTTCATATACGAAAATGTGTTACAAATAACTTTGAATGGTACTCCCTCCGTTCCTTATTATAAGAGACAAATAACTGAAGTACGTTGATAAAAAAAACAGTTAAAATTAGTTAAGAACAATTAATGTGTAAAAAGTATAATTTTTTTTCCAAAAATGCCCTCATTAATAAGGAGAGAGAGCATGAGAGAGAACAATTAAATTATTAAAAGAAAGAGAAGTGGGAGGGAGAGAGAGTGTGAGTTGGAGATAATAAATATGGGTAAAATAGTAAATCAACACAAAAAAGTAGAGACAACTTGTAAGTGTCTCTTATATATAGAAATATGCCATAAGCATCAAATGTCTTTTATAATAAGGAACGGATGGAGTATCTTATAATAAGGACCAAAATGAGCAGTATTTGATCACATTTAAGAACTTCACTTGTCAGGCATAATGTCTGGGAACTGCGCAGAGAGGGAGACCGTTGTGAATATGAAGAGTAAACATGGTCTTGTAAGTCACATTTCTGGTTTCATCTTCCAATTTAAATCTGAAGAATCGAACGAGAGCCATGGAAACTATTTTCATCTGTCTGTAAGCGAAGTCCCTCCCTAAACAGATACGAGGACCAGCCTGCAATAAAATAAATAATTAGTACTATTTTGTATAAATAATAATTAAGAAGGGAACTAAATTAACTAAAAGGTCATGAGAAAGTGAGACTAACATGGAAAGCTACAAATTTGAATGGAGATTGAGGCTGAAACGTGCCGTTTTCGAGCCATCTTTCGGGTCGAAATTGGTCAGCATCGGGGCCCCATATAAAAGGCATCCTGCCCATGGCATAGGCCAAGTAGTAAATTGAATCTCCCTTGTTTATTCTGTGGCCATCTGGAAGAATGTCATCTGCTCCTGCTGTTCTCCCATTCTTGTTTCACAAAACAGAAAACAGAAAGAAAATCACCAACATGCATATGTATATATAATAATTGATCTCATATAATAATTATTGTTCTTTATTTGCATTTTATTATGAACACATGGATTAATTAATTTCAGATGGCTTTTATTTAAGGACATGAGTTACTTCTCGAGTCTTTAATGTATGAGAGTTAGTTATTAAAAGATTTTTGTTTTAGTTCTAAATATAAGAACTCAATCAATTTTATATATCTTTTAAACTTGTAATGGAGGGGTTTTTCCATCAATGATAGTAGTTTCTAATACAAATGATTAAATGATATATTTTAGGAAAACTTGCACACATTTTTTATAAATAATTAATTTGATTCATTTTGTTAATCTTTACAAATTAGTTATTTAGTTGTTACATTTTAGAAGGAGAGATCATAGTATATGATAAGAAACCAATTAAGAACCACTACCTTTGGTCCTAAATATACAAGACATACAAAGTTTATTTTGATTATACCTAAGAGTTCAATTCACTTTGTTACCCAAATTTATAATTTTTTTCTCCAAAGCACCCATATTGATTGCACATATAATAAAAGGGTTTTCATCAATGGCTAATTACAATACACATGATTAGTAAATGATATTCTAGGAAATTAAACCAGCACGTATTTGTTATTAATAATTAACTTATTTTCTTAATATTTGCAAATTAATTATATAGCTTTTATATTAAGCATGGGAGACACTAATGAATAAAGAGAAGAAGGTAACTCACAATAGGGACAGCAGGGTATAGCCTCAAAGTTTCAGTCAAAGCTGCATGAAGATAATGCATTCTGTCAAGGCAAGAATCTGTAATATTGGCCACAAACTCATCCACATTGGCTATACTACTCATTGTTTGGTGATGACTTGAAGAATAATTAGTAACTTGTTTCACTTCTTGAGCAATCTTCTCTTGCACGAGAGGGTACTTGCACAGCATGTAGAAGAACCAAGACATGGTATTAGCACTCGTATCTTTGCCAGCAATCATGAAGTTCAGAATTATGTCCCTCAGATATTTATCTGTCATATTATTCTCTGATGGCTGCTCCTCGCTCTTCAACAAAAACCTTGAGAGTATGTCCTCCTTTTCACTCTGAAATAAAGGAAAATTGCTGAAAAATTTGCATTGCAAAATAAAAGATGTAGTTTCTGTTGAAAATGACCAAAGGGGATATCTTAAAAATATTGACACATTTTTTACGAATATTTAACTTAACTAATTTAAATTAGTTATCCAGCATTCCAGCTCTTGTATTTAGGATCATAAAAAGTATTAAGTTAATGGACTCACCGTATCTTGCTGAGACGTCAAAAGTTGTCTTTTGGTTCTGATAAGACCATTCACAAAATCATCAATTATTTTGACATTGTTCTTGAGAGCAGCTTCAGATCCAATATTGAGAAACCTCTTGATCTTCCAGAAAGGATCCACGTAACGACGATAAACGAAGGCATTAGAATCATCAAAGGCCTTCAAGAATTGGCTTCCCTCTTCGCTTGTTCCCTCCAAGCACTCCAACTCCACTCCAAATCCCGCTTTGAATATCGAGTCCAAAGTGCATCTCATCAGCGCCTCCTATACATCAAACAAGACCCACAAAATCAAGAACAAATTAAATTAATAAAAATCTAAATATTGAAAGGATTAAGGTGTAAATTTCTCCCCACGTTTTCATTCAGAAGCATTGGATAATCGAAATCTTTTGTGTGCGTATTTGTCCTAAAAATTTAAAATCACAGAAATATTGTCTTGTACAGTTAAAAAATTGACTATTAAAATAGTGATATTAACCATGATATTTTTAATTGTAGAAAGCAACATTAGTATGATTTACAACTTTTTAAGGCAAATTCACACCTAAAAAACTTGTGTCTTGACTGAAATTTTCTAATGCAAATTTGCACCCTAACCTAATATTAAAATTATGCATATGCATTATGCAATTTTTTACATTATCAGCTGCAACTTGATACTTTCTTTATATATCCACTTGATCTGCACTCTTTAAATAATCAAATACAAACTTCTAAGCGACGCCCAAGTCAAAAATAGAATAAAATAATTAAAACCCAACTCTACACTTTGCTTATTCGTTATCATTATATTATATGATTATATATTTTCATCAACATAACAAAAATCTCTGAATCTATATGAGTATACGTATAAGTTATTCATCAGTTATACATAATTTGTTCATTTCTCCTATTTATATTATATTGATATTGGATTCAAATTCTTCTAAAAAAATTACAATTTCATTCTACATCACTCAGTTCTTCTTTCTTTAAAAAAAAAAAAATCACTTTGAGACCAAAGCACTAACTAATTTGATTTATTATATACATTATTATTGATATACGCCTTTAATTTAATTTCATTCGAAGTATAGCAGCTAAGTAAGAGTTTATTTTGATTTTAAATATAAAATTTTAATTCACTTTCTCCTACATATTTATTATTTTTTTCAAACTAATTTGCTTAAATTATAAATTGATATATACACTAATATTACACTGGAATATTTTAAAGAGATCATGTCACATTTATTAATATTAACTAATCAACTAATTTAATTTATAGCTGTAGATTAACATCAAAACTAGCATTAACTAATTTGAGAGAAACCCAGGATTCCCCGTTTTCAAAGATTCACTGTATTATATCACTCACCTGCATATCAAATCCAAGACCAGCATTGGAAGATTCAGAAATGACCCTAACCAATTTGGCAGCATTCCTTCTGAAAACAGAGCAACTGAAATCTCTAAGAACCCTAGTTGAGAACTCAAAGCTCGAAAGCTTCCTCTGCTGCCTCCATTTCTCAGAATCCACGGCGAAAATACCTTCCCCCAGAAGATCCGCCACAGTCTGGTGATTCCGCTCCCCTTTCGGGTACGTTTCCCACCGCGTTTTCAGAACGTGCTCCACGTTTCGCGAGTCCGCCGTGAACACCTTGCTTCTCCCCGGAGCAAGAAGCCGGAAAGTTGGGTGCGATCTGGCGATTTCGGTGTGGTAGTCGTAGATTGAATTGAAGTGGAAGAGCTGGTTGAAGACGGTTCCTTTCACCGGAGGGAATTTTGGGTCTCCGATGGATTTTCCGGCGAAGATGGTGACTATGAGGAAAGTGAAGAGAAGGATGAGAGCTAAAAGAGAAAACGCTACGAAATAAATCAAAGTGAAGAGCATGTCCATGTTTTTGTATAATTGTGAACTGTGTTGTGTGAGTTTGTGAGTTAGAGAGGGTTGCATGCATTTATTTTGACGAGAAGCAAGTCAATGACGACATGTTTGCCTGAAAAGAAGGGGATGCCACGTGCCACATGCCATGTGTCACTTTATGAAAATAAATTATTGCTCTGGTCCTATTTTATAAGATATTTTTTGTTATTATTTATAGGATACTGAGAGAAATTTTTTATATAGATATATAATTTTATTCTTTATTTATTATTGTATTAACTTTGTTTACATGAGATATATTGTATATTAAATAGAGATAAAGTTAAAAAATTATTAAATTTTAAATCGAGTTAATAAAGTTTAAGGTTCTTTTTTTTGATTTGTGTAAAACATGTTGGAAGTAACTTATAAATAGGACTACAGGAGCATGTCATAAAATTGAAAGCTTCTATAACTTTCTATTTATTATTTAATTGCATTTTTCAAGTTTCCACATATGTATTAAGAAATACAAGCCCCACACTTGATATAAGAAGATATTAATTTGGAGATATTAAGAAAATTAATTAAGTTGGTTAATTATAAAAAAATGTGTATTGACTTTTTTTAACTATCCTCTTTAATCATCTGCCTTAAAATTATTTCTTGATCAAAACATTTTACAATCAATAGATATATTAGAAAATATCGTAGATTTGAGAAACAAAATGAATATAGGTCTTATATTTAAAATTAAATCCAATATATAAATATCTTTTGTATTAAGGGCACAAACGAGTATTACCTCTGATCCCAAATATAAGAGCTAGTTAGAGATTCAGTTTGATTTTAAATATAATAACATAATACACTTTATCTCTCATATTTATTTATTTTTTCTCAAAGTAGTTCACATGATGATTATACTTTGTACATATTAAAAAAATTTCATTCTAATGTCTATGAGTATCAATGGTATTTTAGGGAAAAAAAACATCTATTTATTATAAATAACTAATTTAACTAATTTGTTTAATATTCACAAGTTAATTGTCTAGCTCTTATGTTAGGGAAAAGTAGAATATATTTTTTTTTTTGAGCTGAAAGGAGGAGTAGAATAATTAATATGATGGAATTCATGTTGCATTTGTAAACTTGTGCTTAATTTAGGCTATATATGGATTAAAAAAATAAAAAAAAGTCTCCTTATGAATGACATATTAAGATTATAAATAAGGAATACACTAGGAACCACATCAATTAAAATATTGAAACAATTGTTTTTTTTTTTGGGGGGGGGGGAGAAATATTTAAACAAAGATGGAGTATTTTTAAAAAGAACTGGGTAATAAGTTACTGGCAAAGAAAAGTCAAAATCACAAGTTGGGGAACCGCAGGTAACATGACGGAAACTGCCCTATTCATTTAATGAGAGTTTTTTTAATTAAAAACAAAAGAGATTTTAAATCAAAATCAGCATTACTGTTAAAAGTAGGGTAATAGTAGAGTATTAAATCAAAATTAGGCTGTTGACTTGCAGGTTGGAGCTGGGGTCGCATTTTCCGAGGTCCACTCAATTATTGAAGTTTATTTTTTTAAATACTAAATTAATAAGGATAATGATAATTACGTCTTCTTCAAAGGTGTCGTAATAATTCTGGAATTGATTTTGATAAAAATAAATATGTTAATGGAATTTAAACATAATTTTTATTTAAAAAGCCTAAGATATCCTTCTTTTTTACCTCCGCCTAAAATATCTTTCTAAATCTCAATCTAAATTAAAAAAAAAAAAATCTGACAATGACCTCCCAGTGATGTGATGATGTAACGATGAACCACTGAACCAGGTGAACTGACCGCGAGGCGTGGCCTCCGGGATAGCAAAACTCTTACAGAAATTTTTTTGGGAAAATTTCACTGTAGGACCGCAGAAGACAAAAAATTTCAAAGAGCCCCCAAAACATTCTGAAATCTCACTGCAGGACCAAGGGGCCAATCTGATATTAATTCCACAAGCGAAATGACGCCACTGCCCCTAATGAAGACTTATTTCCTCCGAAAATGAGACATATTATCAGCGGGTGTAAAAGACGGAAGAAAGACGGAAAGGGAGGAGATGGCGTTATTTCCTGCCTCTCCCATGCAGCGCGCCGGTGCGGAAGGGAGATAGCTGACAACCATGAGCTGAGAAAACGCAGTGGCGGAGCTTCACTTTTGCGGTCCGTCCCTCCGCCGTCTTTCGGACTCCAAGCTAGAGTTGGTGCAAGAGAGAGAAGTCGCAAGTGTGCCCTACAGTGTTGCGTGTTCTCTGGAAGTAGCGTCAGGTTGGCGTGGGAGGTAAGATTTTGTTGTTAAAATTTCGGTTTTGTTGGTGTGATTCGGTTAGCACAGGTGGGTTGTGATGGGTGAATGAGGAAGAAATGAGTATTTAAGTGCATGGGCATGTAGGTTGGGAGTGAGTTGCAAATCTTACGGTTTTATGGTTTGAGAAATTCATGCTGATGCTGTTTTAAGTTGTTAAAGATGTGGTGTTTGTGATGTTTTCAAAAGTGGGTGCATATTGAGAATAATGCACTGCTGAAGGAACATAGGTAGGCGAAAAAGAAAGGGAAATGGGTGTGTGGCCTGGAATGGGTTATATGACAGGTAGACGCGCAGAGGAATGGTGAAAATACATAGTACGATGGTAAATTTGGTAATTCTGATTGTGTGCGAGAAAAAGCAATATAATGTTGTGAAAATACTAATTCTTGTTGTCAATTGTCAAATTGCTGATGTAAACGTACGTTGTGTCATACTTGAATGATGTGCAGCAGCAGAGGATAAATGGCTAGCAGTAGTAGGAAACAAGTATTTTGCATCTTTCATGTTAGAGGGCACTTTGTAAAGACCTCAGAAGGGAAATTCATTTATGAAGGGGGCATCATTACTGGAAGATTGATTAGAGAAGGGATGACATATGAAGAACTACAATGCATGGTAGCTCATGATGTGTGGCCAGGGACTCGTGAATATAAAATGAAGTACACAGTTAGCTTTGACCGGGATACATTCTTGGATCTTGTTGACGATATTGGTGTTGGACAAGTAATTGAGTACAACAATAGTAGTGGCCATGTTTATGTTTGTGAGAATGAGAAAGACTTCACACAAGTGTCACAGCTGGACAGTGTACAAGAGTAAGTTGTTCTCAACTGGTTTTATTAAGATTGTGTGTAGGATAAGAAAGAATATGTCCAATTTTGATAAATTGAACTGTAATACTGAATAGCTGTATTTGTTTATGCAGGTTAGATGATTTGGTTGGCCCTTGTGGAATGTCAGTATCTGCAATGGAATTGGATCTAGACACAGACAACATAAACATATCTTCCGTACAAGATGTGCCAACACTGATAGGAAGTGTAGGTATGGAAACGTTGCCAACCCCAATAGCGGTGATGAATTCATCAAAGTGGGCAGATTTGTTGATGTCAAGAGGGCAAACCTTTGTTAGTGCTGAACATTTTAGAGAGGCATTATATAAGTATAGCCTTGCACACAAGTTTGGTTACCGGTACGTAAAGAATGATAGGCATAAGATGATTGTGAAGTGCTGTGTAGAGGGTTGTCCCTGGGAAATTTCAGCATATGGTGTAGGTGAGAATAATGGATTCCTAGTTGTGAGAAGATTTAACTATGAACACTTGCATTATGCACAAGACAACTTAGTTGTCCCTCAGAGAAAGAGGTGCAAACTTGCTTCAGCAGTCATAATAGATGAGTTGATTTCTTGCATGCACAAAGCTCCAAATGACATTAGACGGGATTTGGAAAGAGAGTATGGGTTGAGGCTCAACTACCAACAAGCATATAGGGCGAAAGAGAAAGCATTGGAAAAAATTCATGGTTGTCCGCAGGAGTCTTATATGCTAATCCCTTGGATATGTGAAAGGCTGAAGGAAAGTGATCCAGAAACGGTAGCAAAGTGGGTTGCATCATCAGATAATAGATTTCAAGCTGTATTTATTGCATACGGTTGCTGTGTAGAAGGGTTTTTGAAAGGTGGCAGACCTGTATTATATGTGGATGGATGCCACTTGAGTGGTCCGTACAAAGGAACGTTATTGGGAGCACAAGCGTATGACGCGGATAATGAATTATTCCCACTTGCATATGCGATTGTTGGAGGTGAGACGCTTGATGACTGGGCATGGTTTCTTGGTAACATAAAGGATATTACGGGCTCATTAGAAGTGACAATAGTATCGGATAGACACAACTCAATAAAAGGTGCAGTGCAAGCCGTGTTTGGAGGAGATCGACATGCTTTTTGCTACCGTCATGTGAAGGAGAATTACAGTGCTGAGTTTTTGAAGAAAACCAGGGGAAAGAGGAGGACCAGCGGACAGACAAAGGAAGTTGCACTAAAATTACTTGATTCTATTGCATACGCAAGACTTGATAGAGACTTTGATTGCAGTATGGAAAAGCTAATGGCATTTTGTCCAGAATTAGGACAATGGCTTCAAACAAATGGAGACATTGACCGTTGGGCACAAAGCAAATTTCCTTACAAGAGGTGGGACAATATCACAACAAATCTAGCCGAATCCTTTAATGCTTGGCTTGTTGGTGAGAGGAAGCACAACATAGCTGTCTTGATACATGAGCACAGGGAAAAATTGGCAAACAAGATGTACCACAGCAAAGAAGCCATGACGAATTGGAGCAATGGTGTGGGACCTAATATAGAGGAAAAGTTGATGGATCATGTGGCCAGATCAGAAAGAATGGATGTGCAAAATTATGGAATGAACAATTTTAGGGTCAGATGGGGAAACCTAGATGTGCGGGTAAATCTTGTGTTACGTGAATGTACCTGCAAAGGTTGGCAAATGTCAGGACTACCTTGCCCACATGCGTGTGCTGCAATCAAGAAGGTATATGGTAATATATATGCATATGTCGAGGATTGCTTTTTACTCTCAGCCCAAAAGAAAATTTATGGCAGACTCATGATTCCAGTTGAGACCCATGACATCCCTAGG